CATAATTAGTTTGCCAATTAAAATTCTCTTGAGCCAAAACTGGTTTGGCTCAGTGGATAGAGCGTCGGCCCGCGGACTGAAAGGTCCCAGGTTCGATTCCGGTCAAGGGTATGTACCTTGGTTGTGGGCATATCCCCAGTGGGGCTGTGCAGGAGGCAGCTGGTCGATGATTTTCTCTCATCGATGTTTCTAGCTCTCTATCCATCTCTCTTCCTCTCTGTGAAAAATCAATAAAATATATTTTAAAAAGTCATTTGTCAAAAAAAAAAAAACACAACACAAAACTCTCTTGGGATTTTGATTGGGATTATATTGAAACTATAGAACAATTGGGGAGAGTTGATATTTTTGCAATACTGAGTCTTCAAATTCATGAATGTGGCATCTTGAAGGCATTTTTTTTTTAAATTTCATTTTTTCTCATATCCAGTATGTCAGCAATTCTGCTTAGTTCAAAATATATACAGATTCTGAGTGCTTCTTTCCCACCCGCCATCAGAGTGGCCATCATATTCACCTGTGTTATTGCAATACTGGTGAGAAGCAGCTGGTCTCCCTGCTGCCTCGCTTACCCCTCTTCATCTATTCTCAGGAGGGTGTTTAGAGCAATGTTCTTATTGGGGTGTTTTGGTATTATGGGATGCAAGTCCTTTACCAGATGTATGTATTGTAAATATTTTTTCTGACTGCACTTGCCTTTTTAAGTTTCTTTTTTAAAAAGCATTTTTTAAAAAATATATTTTGTTGATTTTGTAGAGAGGAAGGGAGAGAGATAGTTAGAAAATCGATGAGTCATGGATCAACTGCCTCTTGCACACCCCCTACTGGGGATATGCCTACAACCAAGGTACATGCCCTTGACCGGAATCGAATCCGGGACCCTTCAGTCCCCAAGCCGATGCTCTATCCATTGAGCCAAACCGGTTTTGGCTGTACTTATGTATTTTTAATATATTTTTATTGATTTCAGAGAGGAAGGGAGAGGGAGAGAGAGAGAGAGAAGCATCAATGATGAGAGATAATCATTGACTGGAAGCTTCCTATATCTCCACACTGGGGATTGAGCCTGCAACCCAGGCATGTGCTCTGACTGGAATCAAACTATCACCCTCTGGTTCATAGCTCAGCCACTGAGGCAAGCCTGCTGGGCTTATGTTTCTTTCTTTCTTTCTTTCTTCTTTCTTTCTTTCTTTCTTTCTTTCTTTCTTTCTTTCTTTCTTTCTTTCTTTCTTTCTTTTTAAAAAAAATACATTTTATTGATTTTTTTTTACAGAGAGGAAGGGAGAGAGAAAGAGTTAGAAACATCGATGAGAGAATTATCGATCAGCTGCCTCCCGCACACCCCACTGGGGACGTGCCCACAACCAAGGTACATGCCCTTGACCAGAATCGAACCTGGGACCTTTCAGTCCGCAGGCCAACGCTCTATCCACTGAGCCAAACCAGTTTCAGCCTAAGTTTCTTAAAAAAAAAATTATTGATTTTAGAGAGAGGAAGGGAGAGGGAGAGAGAAATAGAAACATCAATGATGAAAGAATCATTGATTGGCTGCTTCCTGCATGCCCTGTACTGAGGATTGAGCCCACAATCCAGGCATGAGCCCTTGGCTGGGGTCGAACGTAGGACCCTTCAGTCCACAGGCCGACGCTCTATCCATTGAGCCAAACCAGCTAGGGCTTAAGTTTCTTTTGATGAACAAACTCAATTATATGCTCTTATTTATCAATTTTGTCTTTAATAGTCTTCTCTCCCCGCCCCCCGCCCAAGAAATCTTGCCTATGCCAAGGTTATAAAGACATTCCCGTTATTTTATAAGCTTTGTGATTTGAGTTTTTTTAAAAAATATATTTTATTGATTTTTTACAGAGAGGAAGAGATAGGGATAGAGAATTAGAAACATTGATGAGAGAGAATCATCGATCAGCTGCCTCTTGCACACCCCCTACTGGGAATGTGCCCACAACCAAGGTACATGCCCTTGACCGGAATCGAACCTGGGACCTTTCAGTCCACAGGCCGACGCTCTATCCACTGAGCCAAACAGGTCTTGGTGTGATTTGAGTTTTGACTCTAAGTCTATGATCCATCTCAAACTAGTTTTTGTTGATAGAGTGAGGTGGGGGTTGTGATGAAATTTTCCCTTCATCAGACTCAGTTGTTCTAGCACCATTTTTTTTTTTTTTTAAAAACATTTGTCTTTTTTCTTTGAAGACAAATCTTCACAGTGCTTAGAATGATCTTTTTATTAATTATTATTATTATATTTTGTTAATCCTCACCCAATGTTAATTTTCTGTTAAATTTTAGGAAGAGTGGAAGAGAGAGGGAAAGACAGAAACATCAATGTGAGAGAGACACATTGATTGCCTCCTGCATGAGCCCTGACCAGGGCCTGGACCAGGGGGGAGCCTGCAACCGAGGTATGTGCCCTTGACTGGAATTGAACTCAGGATCCTTCGGTGTGCAGGCTGACACTCTATCCACTGAGCCAAACCGGCTAGGGCAGAATGACCTTTTTAAATGTCAGAGGACATCACTCCTCTTTCAAAAACCTTCAGTGGTTTCAGTCTGAGAGTAATTGACCCAAATAAGCCGTTACAGGAAGGTTCCACACTTCCATCCTGACCTCATCTACTGCCACCTCCCTGCTGCTCGTTCACTCACTTCCAACACACTGACCTCCTTGCTGTCCTTCGATCATGCCATCATGCTGTCACAATCCCTCTGGAGGTCTTTGGTTGGGAAGCTCTGCCCCTCATACATCTGCATTGCTTATTCTTTTACCTTTCATTTGAAAAATGTTTTATTCTCAGAGATGTCACCTTTGGAATTTAAAATAAGCAGTATAGAGAAATTGTTTCACAATACATGTAGTTTTAACCTTTATTTCTCAAATAGGTCTTCCTTCAACACCCTGAAATTTCAACACCCTTCCAAACTTCCTAGTTCTTTGAGAGTTTTATTTTTTTTTCTTAGTACACGCCGTCATGTAACATACTGTATACGTAATTTTTCTTATTTCGTTTCCCCCATTTGAGTGCAAGTTATAAAAGCTATGGATTTGTTCTGTTCATTGCAATCTCCTCAGCATCTAGGACAATACCTGGAAGCGTTAAATTTGTAAATTGAATAAGAATATTGAAGCCCAGAAAGATGAAGTTACTTGTTCAAGATGGCATAGGTAATACTAAACAACTGAGTTAAAATTTAAACCCAAGCCGAAACCTGTTTGGCTTAGTGGATAGAGCGTCAGCCTGCGGACTCAAGGGTCCCAGGTTCGATTCCGGTCAAGGGCATGTACCTTGGTTGCAGGCACATCTCCAGTAACGGGTGTGCAGGAGGCAGCTGGTCGACATTTCTCTCTCATTGATGTTTCTAACTCTCTCTCTTCCTTTCTCTCTGTAAAAAAATCAATAAAATATTAAAAAAAATTTTTAAACCAAGCAGCCTAACTCCAGAGTTCACGCTCTTAAGCCTGAGAAGTGGACTCCATTACTGAGTGGGGCTCAGGATGGGCAGAGAGATACAGTGGTCCCGCGAGTCCCTATTCTTCTGCCTGAAACGGAGCCGGGCCTCCCAGAGCTCAGGTCTGGCCTCAGCAGCTGGGCCAATGGCGGCCCTGTCTCAGGATACTATTGGGGACACAGCAAGTGTGCTGATGCCCTCAAGTGGCCAGGGTGGGGAAGACAGACAAAGCGTAGTCTTCAGGCTGAAGGTGTATATGGGTGAGGTATGTTAGCTCTTGGTTCCCAGCCTCTCCCCTCACAAAAGACACAACTCAGGGCATTGGCATCACAGACCTTTATTTCACTAGAAGGGACAGGCAGTGGGGCAGTGCAGCATCCAAGCCCCAGACCAAACATGCAGCATCCACATGCAGGAACAGCTACACAGGCTGGGGCAGGGCCCGTGCCAGGGGTGGGGGACTGGGACCGTAGGACATCACAGCACCCCTGGGTGCTTGGCCCCTGGGCCTCCCCGCCTCCACTAGAGCGAGGAGACAGAGGGCTGGGCTGCTCCCATGGCTGGGATCCTATCACTCTGGCCAGGAAGAAAGATGGCACAAGGAGTAGGAAGTCTGGCCAGTCCACAGCACTCAGTTCTGTACAGGGTTGGCACAGCCTTGCCCACTGGAAGGGCCTGGCCTCACACCCAGAACAGAGCAGCCCTAGCAGGAAGAGGGTCTACAGAACTTCCTAGTCCCCAACAGGGCTAGACCCTGAACCCGGAAAGACTGAGCAGAGCTGGGACCAAGCCTCACTCCGGCAGGGACGTGTCCATGAGGGGGACTTCCCTGAGCACAAGCAGGGGCCTCCTAAGGCAGTAGTCCACGGAGAGCTGTTATAGACGGGAGGCCTTGCTTCTGTGCCCCTGGCGTGGGGTAGGAAGGGAAGGTATGAGAGCAGACCTGGGGCTGGGGAGGTGTGAAGAGAAGGACAATGGCCTGGGTCTGTAGGGGCTAGAGTGACTGAGGCTGGGGTTTCCCAGGGGAGGGTTTAGGGCTGGAAAACCAGGCCAGGAGAGGGGCAGGTGGCCATTCTGCCCAGACCCCCTGCACCCATGCTGAGGTCTGGACAAGGCCACAGGGAGGATGCACAGAGAACTTCAAGGCACCAGGATTCTGAAGAGCAGCAGGGCCACCCCTTACAGACAGACAGTGATTATAATAAACATCTTCAGCTTAAATTACATGATGTGTGTACAGGATGGGTGGGAGGGAAGGGGGAGAGAAAAAGACAAAGGAAGAGGCCTATGTACAGGGAAGATGAGGGTGGAAGAGACACACCAGGTGAATATGGCAGTGAACGTGAGGGTGTGGGGTAAAGGAGAAGAGGAAGGAGACGGACAGAAGGAGGGACGACAGCCAGAGAAGGCCTGAACACGCAGCACTTCTGGTCCCTACAACTAAGGCACCAGAGTCAGTACATCCCCGTTGTTCCTGCAGTGTTGACACAGGCGCTGGAGGGAGGAGCGGGCAGCTGCTGAAGGGTGTGGGTTCCTCACACCTGTACGCCGGTGGCCTTCTGGATCAGGGGTATCTGTAAGGATGGGAGACGCCATGAGGCCGTGGCTCTGGGGCCCACGGCCGTTCCACTGAGGTCAGTCCAGGAGGCGACCCAGGCAAACTCATCACAGCGAGCGAAGCACACACCTTGGATAGGTCCACGCCTGTGAGGGCGTGCACGGAGGCTGGCAGCTCGGCCAGCAGTCGGTTCACTTCTGATGTCACCTTGTTGTTATCCCCGGTGAGGACCACAATCTCATCGACTTTGGTCAACGGGGCTGCGACCTTGGCGGCGATCTAGGAGGTTGGGTGAGAGGAGAGCTTGGTTGGTTCTGACTCCGTCCACTTGCCCTGCCCGGCATCTCTCCCCTCCCCATCTCTCCTAAACCCTCACGCAGCCTGGGTGGCCCTTGTCTGAAAGCCATACTCTGGATGCCTGTTGTAGGGTTCCTCCTCCTGCCGAATTCTCCCCCGTTTAATTCTTCTAGCCAGCCTGAGGCTGTGCTCCCGACAAGGCCCCCGAGAAATTCCTGCACTTGCCCCGCTGGTCGCGGCCTGGGTGGGAGCCTCACCTGGGGCAGGGCCTCCAGCACCATGGCCATCTTGGCCGAGTCCCCGTACTTCTGGTAGGCCTCCGCCTTGAGCTTCATCCGCTCGGCCTCGGCTTTGCCCATCGCCTCGATGACCGCTGCCTCCGCCTCACCGATTTTTCGGATCTTCTCAGCCTCTGCCTGAGCCAAGAGGACCTGCTTCACCCTGAGGGAGTCCGGGTGCGGCAGGATCAGTGGGAAGTACCTGGGGTCCCTCAAGCCTTGTCTGGGGGGGCCAGCAAACCCTCAAGCCCTCTGCTCGGGCAGGTGGTGTCAGGGTGGGGGACCCGCGAAGGGGGTGCCCTGGCATTGTGGCTCTGGCCAGAGAGAGGGATGGGCTTCCAGATGCAAACGGGAAGAGGAGATTAACCAGGATGCTGTGTCAAGCACCGTTCCAGGCCCTCAAGCCTCCTTTATCTAATTCGGTTATTCTAACAATAAAGCCAGGTTCTTCACAGCGAGTCGACAGGATGGAGGAGCACTGGCTTCTAAACTGAGGCCAGGAGAGCAGAGGAGCCAGCCTGCCCGCCCGCCGCCAGCCCCCGCCGCCCAGCAGCACTCACTTCTCGCCCTCGGCGATCTGCTGCATGCGGTGTGCCTCCGCCTCGGCCGGCCGGCGCACGGTGGCGATGAGCTCCCTGTCTGTGCGCAGGATCTCCTGCGCCTCCACTGCGATCTGCTTCTTACGCTGCACAACCTCGATCTCAATCTCTTCTTGCCGAATCTTCTGCTGCTCGCGGGCCCCTTGCAGCTCGTAGGCCAGCTGGGCCTCCGCTGTCTGCGGCACAAGTGTGGTTAGCACGTCAGAGGCCAGCTGCCAGGTCTGGAGTCCTAAGCCCCAACCCAGGGGCCCTGTGGCTCCTCACCTTGATGTTGACTTCCTCACTGAAGGCCGACTTCTGCAGCTCGAAGGCTCGCTTGGAGTCGGCGATTTTGGTGTCTGCCATGAACTTCACGTCCAGCATCTCCCTCTTGCACTCGGCTTCCTGGGATCAGGAGGGGCATGTGCTGAGGGTCCTCTGAGAAACCATGGTCCCCCCCGTCCCCAGTTCCCTGTCCCTGGGGGCGGGAAGGAAGGCCCACATACCCGGATGCCTGCATCTCGCTCGGCCTCGGCCACGCCGATGTCAGCATCTCTCTGTACCACCGCCGTCTGCGTCTTGCCCAGGGAGCTCAGGTAGTCCACTTTGTCATACACATCCTGGGGAGGGAAGGCAGAGGAAGTCATCCCTAGAACAGTTTTTAAGCATTTTTTTTTTTTTTTTTTTATTGATTTGAGAGAGAAACATTGATTTGTTGTTCCACTTGTTTATGCATTCATTGGTTGCTTCTTGTATGTGTCCTGAGAGATCAAATCCGTGACCTTGGCATATGGGGACAACGCTCTAATGGCCAGGCTACCTGGCCAAGGCACAGTAGGGACAGTTATAAGCACAAAGGTTCCCCTCCTGCCAAGTCCCCCTCTCCCAGACTTAGGGGGCTACAGTTTTACCTTAATGGTAAAGCTGAGGATCTCAATGCCCATGCGGCCGACGTCAGGGGCTGCCACCTCCCGCACCAGCTTGGCAAACTGGTCCCGGTCCTGATAAATCTGCTCCACAGTCAGGGTCCCTGGGGGCAGAAGGATCATGGGGCTGGCTCCCCAGGGACCTAGCCAGCTAGGAAAGGGAGGAGGCATGCAAGGAGAGGTCTGAGCGTATGCAGGGCTGTGCAGTCTGAGCTCGGTCTTCCTGGTTTCTTCTCAACTGCTTAGCGCCAAGCCTCCTTCTGCAGAGTCCAGGCTGGGTGAAGAAAAGTGTTCTAAGCAGCACTAGGAGCCTGATCAGACTGGCAGCCCCTCCCCTTCTCGCCCCCTTCACTCAATGCCCTCCCCTTCACTCAAAGGAAATACTTGAGGGAAAAATGTTTCAGCTTTTCATCTAGAAACCTTGGTGGTCTGACAGACCCCGCCCCCTCCTGCACCCCTCCCTGGCCCTGGCGTGGGGCCCTGCGATGCTCCTCTGGGGCAGCAGAGGGGTCTCTGGGCTGGGCAGGGGCTCACCGAGGATGGAGCGCAGGTGCCCCTCCAGGGTCTGCAGGACGACGTTCTTGATGTCCTGCACGTTCTTGCCCAGGAACTGCTCGCAGGCCACGGCCAGAAGCTCCTTCTCCGTCATGATCTTCACCTGCCAGTGGGCACAAAGGGGCCTGAGCCAGGATGCAGGGAGCGGACGGAGGCCCCAGACCCAGTGTGGAGGATGGTGGCCATGCCCCGCCCCTCCTTTTTCAGACCTGATCTGGGGGCGGGGGTGGAGTCTGTCTGAGGCTTCCAGTGGGGATGGCACACAAGAATGCTCACATTGAGAAATTTCATCCTTCCTGGCAGCCCAGGCCTGGATGTGGCCTCCCTCCTGGGCACGTGGGACTTGTCCCCCTCACCCTTCCAGTCCACGTGCTTGCCCCTCGTTAGCCAATTCCTCCCTTGCAGGCTCCCCACGGGCGGGAGACCTGAAGACTGAGGGGCAGAGAATGCCAAAAGGACAACGAACAGTAGGGACAGAGACAGACACACTAGGAAGGAGAGCCTAGACAGGGCAGGGGTGGGTCCAGGGGGTGCCACCCAGACCCTTCCTGAGAGAATAAGCCAACACCCCCACACCGGAGGCCTACAGCACGGCTGAACCTCCGCTCTGTGAGGCTGAGAGGGGGACTAGGGCAGGAAGCCCCTCACCCAGGCACCAAGTGGGGAACATAACAGTCTCCGACTCCAGGGCCTGCCTGACACGACCTCATCCTCTGGTCCCCACACCGCCAGCCCCCCTACCCAGGGAACGGGGAAGGGCCTGGCTTCTGGGGCCTGGCAGTTCTGACACCTGCAAAGAACGGGGTGGGGTTAGTGCGCCAGGAGCCCTCCGCACTGGTTCTGTCCCTCGCGGGCCCGCTGAGGAGAGAAGGGGTGTCTGTTAGTTCTGCTGGGTGGCCAAGGGGCCGGGAGAGCACAGCACGTTCCAGTGGCGATGACCCTCTTGTGGAAGGGGGGTGGGGGGCAGGGGCGGTGGTGCTGGAGAGAGAACGCCCCTGACTGTTGTCTTCTCCTCCCCCCGAATCCCAGCACAGGATGAGGCAGCTCAACGGTCAAGCGCGGGGCTGCCGAGTTACTATACCTGGGCGACACCCGTCACAGTTAAAGCTACCCCCTCGGCCGTCTCTACGTCCTCACAGCGGGGCTGCAACGTCATAATCTCTAGGGAAATCCTGCCAAGAAATGCAAAACAGGGGCATGGGTCTGGGGGCCCAGGGCCTGGGTGTGGGGGCGGAGTCCAACACCTCACTGCCCCGGCTGGGACTGGCCAGCGGTCCTGCTGCAGAGAAGGGTGGGGAGGACCCCCCAGGGGTCACGGCTGGAAGTGTGTGTAGGGGGTGGGGTGGGGAAGCAGGGCAGGGTGATGCAGGTGCCTCCAGGGGAGTGTGAGTGTGCTCTCCGTGTGCATACTGCCTCTGCTGGCATCAGCCTGGCTCAGAGTGGGAGAAGGAAGCAGAGAAAAGGTGGTGGTGGTCTGGGCTGGTGGAAAGGTGGGGAGGGCCCAGGAGCAGCTGTGTGTGTATGTCCCGGGAGAGCAGGTAAGAGCTGGTGCTCCAGGTTGTGCTGTGTAGGCTGTTCATGGGGCCATCTGAACCTTCCCCAGGGCCCTCACCTGTTCCCTGGGCGTGCTCACACTCCAGGGCACCACGGGAGGCTACCTGCAAAGCTCCGCTTGCTGGTCTGTCTGGCTGGGGGTACCCACTGCTGGGCTACGATGAGGGGATCCTGCGCCCGCCCCTTGCCAGAGAAGCCTGCCTGGTCTCTTCACCTCAGCGGACTACGAGGTGAAGCTTCCCCTTTGGGTTGGGCCCAGGTGGTCAAATTGGGAACAGGCCACACTAGAGCTTCCTGGCCAAAAAGTGCTAGAAAGGCTTATTCTACCCAGACTGTCTGAGGCCTCAAGGGTCCACGGCCCCCGTTTGAAAAGGACGTAGGCACCTGCAGTTATCTCAAGCAGGGCAGTGGATCTGGAGGCAGGCGGGCCGCGTTAGACAGGAGGTGAGGCGGCCAGGGCCCTGCCTAAAGGGCCCGGAACCCCCAGGCCTCTGTGCTGAAGCCCGCCCTACCCCGGCTATAAGGGGCGGTCCCCTTCCCATTTAGAGATGGCGGGGGGGGGGGGGGGTGAGGAAGGGAGCAGTGGTACAGCTTTTGCCTGAAAAGGCTGAAGGGCAATATCGTGCAGAGGGAAGGGGTTGGGTAAGATGACACTTAGATCTCTTCTTGTAATGGGAACCGCACGTGACAAAGAGAGCACTGCGGTTACTAAACGCCCTGGCTGAGGGATGAATTCCATCAGCTGCGGCTCCGTGGCCACGAAGAGGGGACACCAGGCTACCTGCTTTTCAGAGCAAACACTGCATTCATTATAAGGCTGGGGTTTCTGCCGAAACCGGTTTGGCTCAGTGGCCTGAAGGGTCCCGGGTTCGATTCTGGTCAAGGGCATGTGCCTTGGTTGTGGGGGGGGGGGTGCAGGAGGCAGCTGGTCGATGTTTCTCTCTCATTGATGTTTCTGGCTCTCTATCCCTCTCCCTTCCTCTCTGTAAGAAATCAATAAAAATATTGAAAATATTTTATTAACATTTTAATAAAAATATTAAAAAAAATAGCCGAAGCCGGTTTAGCTCAGTGGTAGAGCGTCGGTCTGCGGACTGAAAGGTCCCGGGTTCGATTCCGGTCAAGGGCATATACGTTGGCTGCAGGAGGCGGCTGGTCGATGTTTCTCTCTCATCGACGTTTCTGGCTCTCTATCTCCCTCCCTTCCTCTCTGTAAAAAATCAATAAAAAATATATTAAAAAATATATATTAAAAAAATAAAAAAAATAAAGCTTGGGTTTCTCTAGCACTCTTTTCCCCAAATCCCCAGCGTGCCCTCCTGGTGTTTCACTTGCCTTTCCGATATCCCTACCTGGCACCGCGAGGACCCGGTTCTCCCACCCATCCCACGGACGGGAAAACAAAGCCTGGTGACAAGAGCTCTGCATAAGGGCCTCTCCACAAAGCATCAGGGGCCGGGAACGGCCAGGCTCTTTGCTCAGGCCTGTCAAGAAGACTGAAGGGGTCAAAGGGGCTGGGCGAACAGACTCCCCATGAGACCTACCTTCTGGCCTTTCCCTACCTTCACCTTTCAGTGCAAGGTCTCCCACCCCCTGCTATAGGGGGGCTGGGGCTTGACACAGGGCGTCAGCCCGGAGAAGGGGCTAGCAAGGGGCTCTGAGGTACCTCCTGAGGACAGGACTTCACCAGCGGCGACAGGACCGACCCTCCCGGCCCGGACAGCCCAGCTCTGTCACGTAAGGGCTGTGTCTCCTGCCTCAGCTCACTCCCAATTTAGGCTTCCATCCAAGGACACCGACTGGCAGACTGACAGAGCTTCCAGAATCCTCTGTTCTTTCCCCACGAGCAGCCCCAGGGGGCGAGGGCGCAGGGGATCTACAGGGCTCCATCCTGGTACTGAGACCAGCGGAGGTGGGAACAGAGAGGAGAGAGGCCCGCTCTCAGGAGGGCAGTCCATCTGTCCTGCCTGCCAGGCCCCACAGGGCAGGAAGAGAGAAGGTTAGACACAGAGGAGGAAGCAGGTGGGTTATTACCTGTGCAACCCCTGTTACGAATAGCGGGACCCCCTCCGACGTCTCAATATTCTCACAGCGACACAGGATGGTCATAACCTCCAGAGACAGTCTGAGGAGCAGCCGGGGGCAGGTAGGGAGAGGTAGGGGCAGGAAGGGGTAGGAGGGGACACAGCAAACACACACAGTGGTTACCAGATAAGCACCGATGCCTGATGCCTGGGGGCAGGGTAGCTCTCCATACCTCAGCCCCCCACTGCCAGCTCAGCCTAGGGCTGTAGGCGGCCAAACACACCCACTTGCTGGCCTGACGCCTCTGGGTCTCTTCTCTAGCCCCCATGCTCTTCCAAGGAGCTGCTGCTGGGCTGGGAAAGGAGCCTGCTGATGCCCTGGACCTATGACCTGGGGTCAGGAGGCCTGTGCACCGGGCACCTGGGCTGCTCCCCACCTGCTCCCCGAGAGACCTCTGGCACGATCAAGGAGACTTAGCCAGCTCCACGCTCCAAACACAGGCAAACCCGTGTTTCCAGAAACTGGGGGAGGGAGGTCATTCTGGGGCTTGACGAGCCATAGCAAATACCCAATCCTGCTTGGGGCACACAAGCTCAAGGTCTGTGCTACTACATATCACTAAAAAGGCAATTTAGGACCCTGGCTGGTTGCTCAGTGGTTAGCGTACTGACCCTCGGCTCAGACGAAAGGGTCTCAAGTTCAATTCCTGGTCAAAGGCATGTACCTCAGTTGTGGGTTTGATCCCCACCCCAGTTGGGGCTTGTGCAGGAGGGAACCAATTTCTCTCTCCTCTCTCTCTCTCTCTCTCTCTCTCTTTCTCTTTCTCTTTTCCCCTACCCCTTTCTCCCTTTTACTCTGTCTGAAAATCAATGGAAGAAATATCCTTAGGTGAGGATTTAAAGAATAATAAAATTTAGGGCCAGAAAAGTCCAAAGAAAAATTTGGATTTTCTGATTTGGGGGTGCAGGTGTCAAGGAAGGCGGGGGGAGAAAGTGTGCCCCTGCCAGAATATTCATATGGACAACGAGCAGCTCACTTTGGCATTCCCAATGCTGGGCACAGGCAGAGAAGACTCAGGGTAAGAAAACAAGGCGCGTCTAAGCCACGTGGCCCTCCCCTTTGGGCTACTGGGGCCTCCCCGGGCAGCGTGTGCGTGCGGATGTGCACAGGGAGGGGTCTAGGCGGAGGCCAGTCTGTGGACAGCGTGGAAGGTTGCCTTGAACCAGCGAAAGGGAGGACAGAGACTGAGGCTGAAGGAGCAGAAGCGAGTAGTTTGGGGTGATGGGAAACCCTCACCTCAACTCTCACATGCCGCCCCTGGGGGCGCTGGCCATGCAGATGTGCAAAGGCTGCCTTCTTCCAGGCTCCTACCACTGGCACCCTAAGGCCGGAGAGAGCTCTTGACCTGCCTCAGACGGGGAAACCACCAAGCTCTCCTCTGGGGAAGGAGGAGAGGGGGGATAGCAGGAAGGGAAAGGAAGGAGGGAGGGAAGGAGGGAAGGCAGGAGGCTGCAGCTCAGATGCCAGAGGTGGAGGAATCGCTCAGGTAAGGAGAGAGCCGCCCGAATGAGGGTAATATGGGACGTGGCAGCAAAGAGCAGAGGGACTTCACAGAGCCTGGGAAGACAGCTGACACCAGAGAGGGTGACATTAGGACAGCTGTGGAAAGCACCGCGAAAAGGAGGCTGAGGGTCCAGGCTGGTTAGCAGCCTCTCCTCTGACCTGGGAGGCTCCTCCTGGTCTAGGGAAATGAAGGCCTGGGCTTGTAGCGATGTCCCCCCCAGCAGGCTAGGGGTTGGGGAAAGAGGCACCCCCAGAACAGGGCCCAAGAAGGAGAGGGGCTGCAGACTGAGACTGCCCAGCAAACGGGAGCAGAGGGAGAATGCGGAGCCTGGCTGCGTGAGGTTGGTTTCCTAGGACAAGGCACAAGGTCTCCCACCCCTCACTGCCAAACCTGCCGTCGGAGAAGCCTAGCTCAGTGTCGGGGCTCTGATCCCTGGAGCAGGAAGCGAGGGGTGTGGGGGGCTGAGAATGTAGACAAAGAGCTGCAGAGTGTTGCCCTAGCAGTGGCTGCCCATGCAGGACCCATCTCCGGGCAAGCTGCGAATTCTCTGGGCCTTGTGGACACCGAGGTGCTGGGACAGGACACTCTGTGGTCCCAGGACTGCAGGGCACACGGGGTGGCAGCGTCTCTGGAGAGGACAACCCCTGGTTTCTGACAGGGCATCTGGCTCACTCACAGGTGCCCATGAGCCTCCTGAGAGGAAGCCGAGACCAATATTGATTGCTCCCTGACGCTTTTGGCCTGGGGATCCCACTCAGGCAGAGCAAAGTGAGGGGAGAGATGGGGAAGTGGGAGGGGTTGCAGGGCCATCAGTGAAGTTAAAAAACTGTGACATGCTTTCCCAGGCCCCGGACCCCAGCTGACACCTTCAGACTCCCTGGAACCACAGGCACTGACAGCTCAGCGCAGCCACGCGGCTTCTATCTGCCGCCTGGTGGGGCTGGGGCGGAGGGGGAATTCCACTGGAATCTCCATCACGTCCCCTTCAGGATGACTCCCCCGGCCCCCACATGCCCGTACCTTCACAGCTCTGCTGCCCTCTGGTCTGGGTCCTGGCCTGGAAGGATCTGGGTCCCTCCCCTGACCTCCCATAGCCAGGAGGGGGTGAGGGCGGGAAGGTGGCTGGCATGCCTCCCTTCTCCTCCTGGGTGGGCAGTGAGGGTAGCAGGGAAGGTCCAGGTTGGATCTGGCCCTGCCAGGGGCTCTGGAGGAGCCAGAAGGTATGGCCTTATGATAGTCCCTGTGAGGGGCTGAACTGTCTCTTCCTCCAGCCTTCCCACGCTGGTTTAGGAAGTCCAGACCTGGCCGGCCCACCCTGGCACTAATTCCTGTCTCTAACCCACTGCTACTGAAGAGCCACTTCAGACTGGACATGTATTCTCCGCTACTTAGCCCTTGCCTGCATTTCGCAGGGCCCGTAAAGGTGAGGGTGCATGTTAGGGGTCTCTTCAGCCTTGTCTCCCTCCCTGGACCCCCTCTGAACAGGGTGTTAGAATGAAAGCTTCACAAATAACTTTTGAGCTAAAATCAGGGCGTTGGGACTCCGCCTGGGCAGGACCCTGAATTCTCTGGGCCAGAGCGAGGCCTCCAGTGGAAAAAAGTGCGCCCCCTAAGGAGGAGGTGCCCGTGGACAGACCTCCAGCCTCCCCGTGCCACCCATCCTGCCTGCTTCTCCGGAGGCTCCCGCCCCCAGAATGACACGTGGCAAGTGGCAGGTGCTCTAGCTGATCTGCGGGGAGACAGGGGCAAGCTGGAAACCCCCTCTCCCTTGCCCACCAGGATGCCAGCTTCCCTGAGCCCCGGATCCTTACCTCTTAGTGTCAGAGATACACCACCAGGCCCAGGCCCAGCCGCCAAACACGTACTGCTTATAGTCCGAACCGCAGCAGCCCCCTGGAGAACAAAGCAAGACGTCGCTGTCCATCCGCTCTCGGGTTTGTCTATCCCCAATCCCTCCGACAGCAACCCCGGGCCTTCACCTGCTCAGACACTTAATCGCATTTTGAGTGCCAGGTGCTGAGGTTACACATAAATGGGAGACCTGCCCGTAAGGGTCTTGGGATCTAGGTAGGTCAATAGGGCGTTTGCATAAAAAAGGAGGATATCCAGTGAGTAGACGGGAACATATGTGCTTTCAGAGAACAGGAGGGGCCAATGGGCAGGGGTAAGCAGCAAAGGCTTTCACCTTTCAGTCAGCCATTCGTTTAGCAAGGAAGTATTTTCTCTGCTAGGAATACCGAAATGAAGGTGCTAGGTCCTGTCTTGAAGGAGATAAGACTAGAAGGAGGGACCTACTTATTATTTATTGTTATTATCATTATCTAATATTTTATTGATTTTTCACAGAGAGGAAGAGAGAGGGAGAGAGAGAGCCAGAAACACTGATAAGAGAGAAACATCGACCAGCCACCTCCTGCACCCCCTCCCCCCCACCGGGGATGCGCCCACAATCAATGTACATCCCCCCCCCCCAGAATCGAACCTGGGACCCCTCAGTCTGCAGACCGACGCTCTATCCACTGAGCCAAACCGGTCTTGGCTGTTTTTTGTTTTTTTTTTAGATTGTCATACCATGCAATCCACCTATTATCAGGGCAGGTGCAGACAGGGAGGGAATGCAGCCCCCCACCCCTCACACCCTGGGCGGTTGCTGGGAGGGAGGGAGACTCGAGCCACGGTGGGAGTTTTTGTTTTTTTAATTAAGGCATTATACGTGTACATATCTTTCCATTCCCCCCACCCCCACCCCCACCCCCCACACGGTGGGAGCCTTGCTCAAGCCTGGCAGACACATGTCGGTGAGGCTGCTCCTGGATTCCCAGGGGTTCAGAGTGACTTTGTTTCTCTGGTGGGAGCAGAGAGAGAAGGCAAGACCTCAAAACAAAGGCCAACTCATGGCACCAATGGAAAGAGTGAAATAAAGGGAAAAGGTCTAAAAAGCAAGTGTTCCTGGACATGCTCGGCCTGCTCACAGCTCAGAAAACGGGAGAAACCGATTCCTGAAATTCTTGTTGCGAACCCTCCGGCAAATGCCAAAATTTCTCAAGTTCAAGAAAATTTGCATAAAAGCTGGAAGGGCAGTTCAGTTGTAGTGAAAAGAAACGTACAGGAAACATGACTCAAAGGATATCTGATTGTTTATTAAAAAAACACACAAAGGAAATATGATTGGGGGGGGGGGCGGAAAGTCAGTGGATGCCTTCATTTCCATGTTCACCAACTGCGGTTTTAAGGAAGCCTTAAGGTATTTGCCTCCCAAGGTCAAGGGTCAGGGATAGTTCCCTGTAGCTGAGTGACAGTGTCTATGAGGAACCACAGCAAGGGACAAACTGGAGATGGGGGAGGGCAGATCACAGAGTGTCTCAGGTATCAGGCCAAGGAGCTGTGTGTGTGTGTGTGTGTGTGAGAGAGAGAGAGGCAGAGATGGCCACACAGAGATTTAAACTGGGGAGCAACAAGCCCTGGCCGGGTAGCTCATTTGGTTATAGTGTAGTCCCTACATGCCAAGGTTGAGGGTTCAATCCCCAGCAACCTTACAAGAAACAACCAGTGAATGCATAAAAAAGTGGAACAACAAATCGATGTTTCCCTCTCTTTCTCCCCTCCCTCAAAAATCAATAAATTAAAAAAACAACACCCTATTTTCAGTTTTAAAAATATGAAGTTATATTTGCATTTTGGAAACACTCCTTTGCACACGGAGGAAGATGCCGGGGTCAGACGCCTCATGCAGTGGTCCAGGGGTAACTCCCGGAGAACTTCCTGTGTAAGGGGAAGGTTCTGGAGCTGCGCTGTGTACAACGGCAGCCCTGGCCACAGGGGGCTACTGGGTATTTGAAATGTGGCTGCTCCGACTGAGGAAATTAATTTTAATTTAACTAATTACATTGAAGTAGCCATTTGTGGCTACTGGATGCCATATGGTGTAGCTTTACAGTCCAGGTTTGGGTAAGTAATGAAGCGACCAAAACAGACACAATGGAGAGAACCTCACTGGAGAGAAGTGTCGGATGAGTGGAGGTGAAGGAAGTCTCCAGGAGTGCAGAGGGCCTGCAGGTCCGTGAGCTGGCCTCTGAGACTGCGCACATCGGTTTCCTGGGGCTGCTGCTGTGCATAGTGGGCAGGTAGCTGGGCCTGAGGCCCAGGGAGCAAAGATCAGCCCCCGTGTGAGTAGTGGTAGGAAGAGGACTTAGGTCTGTTTCTTTGTGGTGCAGACACCTGTTCACAGGGCTGCTGCTCAGTGGAAGCCACAGCAGGCTTCTCTGCCCTGGGGAGTGGGGAATGGGAGGCCTGTAAGGACAAGCAGTCAATCTGAAACCTAAACCGTCTCAGGATCCAATGAAGTTGGAAGAAGTTCAAAAATCACAGCTTGTTTCACTTCTTCTGGCTGCTGGGGGCTGGGGCCTGGCTGCCTCCACCAGCTCCAGGGCGCTTCTCCTTGTGCTGGGGGAGGAGGGGGGGTGGTGGGGAGGGTTAGGGGGAGGTCTGGGTGACGGTTAGGGGGGTGTCCACCCTTTACCTTTAACTCAGTCTTTGACCTTGGGAGCAGGCTGCCACACACAGCTCAGGCTGGGCCTTGGCCAAGAGCAACATGGCCAGGTTCCCGGGGGGAAGCAGCAACAACAGGAAGCTGGGGTTGCCAGACTACCCCGTCCCCAGCAGCCTCCTCTCTGGAAGGCATCTTCCTCCCGCCTCCTGCTCACGCTGGGCCTGAGCACCAATCCCAGAAGAGAACATTAGGTATCCCTTCCTCGCCTGTCCTCATTCCCGCTGTCTGAGACCTGAAAATTCTCCCTAATGTTATCTCACTTTTTTTCTAAGCCCACTTGCTTTCTTTTTCTGTCCTTCGCCACGCTGAAGAATAACAAAACACCCCTAGATCACCTCACCCCACTCTTAGCCCCTCCCCAGACACATGCTGCCCTCTCAGGGAAACCCCTTCCCTTCCTATCCTTCCCTCTCCCACCTTCTTCTTCCTATCTTAGCCTTTATTTTTAGCCACAAACATCCTTAGGAGTCCAGCAATGCTGGAGTGTTCATAAATGCATAAAATAAAATTCATAAGAAACAAATTATATTAAAAGCTATACAAATATTAAAACCACCAAATATGTGGTATAGTGGGACATGTAATACATCAAAATAAGGTCTATGGTAGATCTATAATTGGCTTAATTTCAAAGTAGTGATGAACATAAATAATTTAAAAAATACTTTTATTGATATCAGAGAGAAAGGGAGAGATAAAAACATCAATGATGAAAAAAAAAAAAAAAGATGTCCACCAACCAGATCTGAAATAGCACGGCTGACATGTACACATAAGGAACTGTTTGACTTTGAAATCGGGACTCAAAAGAACTGTTGGCCCAGAAAGGAACTCACTACAGACTGATTCATTTGCCTCTCAGCATAACCATTATGGCTTGTCTCAGTTTTGGTTCTTACAAGGGTATTTCTTGGATCACGTGATCTCACACATCTAGAGGAAATAATGAACATAAACTGATGAACAAAAACAGACCCAGAGAAAGAGAAGCAGTGATCAGACTCTTAAACCTCAGAGGGAAAGTAGGGGAGGGTGGGGGTGAGATCAACCAAAGGACTTGTGTGCATGCATATGGGCCTAGCCAGTGGCCATGGACAACAGGGGGTTGGGGGCATATGTGGGGAGGGGTTTGGGATGGGAATGGGGGGATGAGGACAATTATGTGATACCATAATCAATAAAATAAAAAAAAGAAACATCGATGATGAATCATTGATCGGCTGCCTCCAGCATGCTCTACACTGGGGATCCAGCCCAGAAATCCGGGTATGTGCCCTGACCTGAAACCGAACCTCGACTCCTGGTTCAAAGGTCGACACTCAAGCACTCAGCCATGCCAGCTGGGCCATAAGTGATGGTTAAGGTATTACAACAAATGCAGTGTAGTAGGAAAGTATCTGCTAATACCATTATGGACCGTCACCGACATTCATAATCATAGGAGACACTAAATATAAATGTACAGACGTCTACGTTCTATCCATAATCCCAGATTAAGAAACTCTGACATATTATGGAGATGAGAGAATTATGTACGGTATCTGGATTCCCCTTTCAAAAATCCCAAAATAGAAAAAGAGTCCAAGGTTTTATATTACAGAATGGAGGAGAAAGGTTAGACAATCAGGAGAACCTCCAGACTGCTCAGGCGAAGAAGATGACCAGGAGATGCATCAGCCTCCTCCTTCTGAAACTGGGCGTGGTGGGCTGGGAGGAGTCACTCTGTTCTCCTGGGAGTCCATGTGCAAGAGAGAGCTGCATCCCAGTTTGGTCCCTTCAAATCGCAAGGTACTATTATGCTAGGCATCATCTTTCCCTCTTCTCTCGCACCCTTCCTTGACTCCAGCACCCTCAAGTCTCAGCACAGCCTCCCCCCCCCCCCCCCCCCAAAACAGCTTCCATATTAGCACTGCTTCGGGCTCTGGCAAGAGGATCTCGTTTCTGACAACTGGAGGGTACGGACAGCCTATCTCAGGGTTCCTCCCGCCCCTCTCCGAAGATTGGAGCTTTTGTCTCCGTGGCTCAGAGACCAGGCTTCCAGAAAGAAACTCACAAGAGAAACAAAGTAGCTCAGTCGGTGAAAGGATTGTCCCCATAAGCCAAGGCTGTGGGTTCAGTTCCCAGTCAGGGTACAGACAAGAATCAACCAGTGCATGCATAAAGGGGTGGAACAACAAGTTGATATTTTTCTCTTAAAAAAAATCAACGAGAAAAAAAAAAGGAAGTCCTGCTGGTGGGGATCAGTGGTTGGGCATCAATCCATGAACTAAGGTCACCAGTCTGACTTCCCGTCAGCGCACATACCAGGTTGTGGGCTGGATATCCAGTAGGGGGCGTATAGAAGGCAGACGATCTATGAAGTTTCTGTTTCTCTCTCATTGATGTTTCCCTCTATCCCTCTGCCTTTAAAAACCAATAAAAACATATATTTTTAAAAAAAATAAAAATCTAATGCAGATTCGGGTTCTAAAAGCCTTCTTTATGAGTGGGGGCTGGAAGACTGGTCTAGATCTTACAGAAGTAGGTACAAATTTGGCCTCAGTCGCCCTAGCAGCTTTGGCTCAGTGGGTAGTGTCAGCCTGAGGATCAAAGGGTTCTGGGCTTGATTTCCAGTAGGGGGCGTGCAGGAGGCAGCCAATCAATGATTCTCATCATGGACGTTTCTCTCTCTTTCTCCCTCTCCCTTCCTCTTTGAAATCAATAAAAATATTTGGCCCCAGTGTTCTCTGGGGATCTCCCTCCTGACCTCAAGACTATCTCAGGTCTACAGCAAAGTGAAGTATCTTATTTCCCCCCACAGGAAATAAGATCAGCGAGAGCAGGGATTTCCTATCCCAGTGTAGAGATTGATTTTAAGATCCAGACTGTGCCAGAAGCCAGGTTCTGGGGTAAAAGTTTCCAATAGATTTATCAATCTTTCCCCACGGTGGGCAGCTGTAACACCTGGCTTAGCCTCCTCGCTTCTACCTCCTTCTGCAGACAGCTGTAGAACTCTGTGCACAGGCTTAAAATGGGCACTGAGAGTGGAAAGTAAGACATGAGGCCTCCTCCAAGCTGTCAGGAACCGCGGACCCTCCCTGGCACCTGCCATCCAGGGCTGCTTCAGCCACCTTCCAAGAAGCCCACATATACAATGTAACAGGCAGCCTTAAGACAAGATTCCTCCCCCCTCCCCTCATACTGCAGAGTCTCCAGGCCCCACCTAGGCGCACAGAAATTCTGGAGCCTGCAGCATTTTTGCAACAGGGAACAGCACAAACCAGAATCCGATTTCTCAACCTGTAGAGGCCGCACCCAGCTCGATGCCAGGAAACCCCGGCAAGCCCCAGCCTGCTGCGGATTAACGGGCCTCCGAGCGCCGGGAGGAGCGACGTGGCCCAGGGCCGCTCCCCACGGAGGCACCTGCTCTCCTGAGCGCGCGGCCCACCCACCCCGAGCCCCGGGCCTGGAATCCGGCCAAACCTCTCCCTCCCGGAACCCCACCGCTCCGGTTCGGGATCTCCGCCCGCCCCCGCCCCCGCCTAAGGCCACGGCAGGGGGGGGGGGACGTGCCTGGAGGGGAGGCGGAGAAAGGAGGGGATCAACATGGGGACAACACGCTGTGGGGGAGGAGCCCCGGAGCTGTGAGTACGGGGTGTGTGTGGGGGGAATCCTATGGGAAGGTCTCGGGGACCGGGCGCCCGGAGCGCAGCAGACTCAGGCCTGATTCTCGGGGTCCTGACCTCGGGACCCCCCCCCCCCCCCGCGGCACTGCCCTCCCCCTTCGGGGGCCTTCCCTGGTCTGCTCCTCCCCGCGCTCCCCAGCCCGAGACCCCCCCCCCCCTGCGCACCCACCTTTCCAGGCACAGCGCCACCCGACCCCCCACACCGCCCGCACGGGGCGCCCCAGCCCCACCTCCCCCGCGGCCCCCTCACCTGAAACCACCAGCGCCTCGTTGGGCCCCACCGTGTGGCAGTTGCCCATGGCGCCGCCGGCGGGACGGGAGGCCCCAGGGGCGGCGGAAACCGGGAGGACGGCGGTGGCAGCCCGCACTCCGCTGCCGCCGCACCGCGGGCCGCGCCCAGCCAAGCGCGCCGCCCCCCGCCTGCCCGCCAGCGCCCCCTCGCGGCCGCGGCGCCGCCGGAAGTGGGGCGGCGGGGGCGGGGCCGGCGCGGTGAGCTGCAGCGAGAGGCAATGCGCTTTATTGCACGCGGGTCGGGTTGGGATGGCGGGGGCCCAGCCCTAACGCACCCGGAAAGCACCCCTCCGCTCCCACGAGGCGCCCAGATAGCAACCGCCCTGCCCTGCCTCACCCCTCCGGCACCCACCCATCTTACAGCAGCTGGCCCTGGAGCCAGACCTGGGTTCAAGTTTTAGTCCCTGCTCTTCCCGGCTGGGAGACCTTGGGCGAGTCCCTTACCCCGGTTGCCTAACCTTTATGCAAAACGGGGATGATCCGACCATCTAGCTGCGAGGTTGCTATCAGTTCAGTAATTCCCAGTATTGGCAGTACACCAAGTGACAGATTCCCTGGCCTTCATCCAGGCTACTCAGCATCGCTGAGGGTACACCTTACAAATAAGACATGTAAATTCCTGAGAAGCAGTGTCTGGCACACTACACACACACACTGGGCTTCTCCTTAAACTTGGCTTACTTCTCAAACTCAGGAAGAAACAGTCACCTATATTTCCTTCCACTAGGAAAAGAGCTGTCCAGGTCACACCTTGACACCCCAAAAGTAACCATGGAGGTAAATACTGCAAACTCCTTGATGGCCAGGCCATGGACCCGCACACAGCTAGGGTGTTTCAGGGCCACCAAGTGCCATAGCAAGCATCCCAGCGGGGGATTAAGAGGCCTGGGGCTCAGGTGCAGCTTTAACCCAAATTCGGTGTGTGACCTTAGACAAGTCTGGTGAGCTCTGAGGGCTGGGATGGGGTTCAGAAACTGTGGGCTCCTCAGGGTGGGGGCTGCTCAGAGAAGATGGGGTTCCTGAGTCCTCAGGGTGGGGGTCTTCATCAGACTTGGCATCCTCTCCCAGTCCAAGCCCTGCCAGCCTCTTGCTGGCCTCCCACAGCCGGTGAGCTGCCCGGTCGTCTCTGGCAGCAGGAGGCACCTCCTCCACACGGCAGTTGGCAAAGTATCTTCCACTGAGGGGCTCAATGCCCTCCTGGAGAGCGCAGTACAGGGGCGTCTGGGCACCCCCTCCCGGGGTCCGGAGCACCAGCCAAGCCAGTGGGTGCAAAAGTGGGCGCAGCCATCCGGGAACATGACGCAGGAATAGGTCCGAGTTCACAGGCCCTGTGCACAGGAGAGAGGAAGGAGTGGGGAGTACAGTGGGTGAGGGCCCAGGGTCAGACTGTGAGGAAAGGGCTGGAAGGGAGTGGGGGGAACAGGCTCCAGTTCCAGGGGAACCAGGGTAGTGTTTACTGGGCAGTCAGGGCCCTTACAAGGCGACCTCACTCATTTCCAACAACACGCCTCTCCTCCATCCGAACTCGTCGCACATCCCCACCTCCCAGATTTAGCTCATGTGGTGTCCCCGGTGAGGGACAATCCTGTCTCCATCTTCCTTTGTTTAATTGAAATATGGTAGCAATCAAACTTGGGTAAAAACTGCTGTTTGAATTTTAACTTTGCTATCTGATTTCGACCTTCGATTACTTGCCTAAACAATAGGGTAGTTACAGGAGATTGACTCCCACCGACTCAGTAGCTTCAGGGGTAGAAACTATAGATAACTTTTCGAGATTAACCTCTGAGTTCTGTTTTTGTATTACGGGCAAGATAGGGCCACATTCCAATGTTCCCAGCCTTTAGAATTTAGAACAAAGGGAAGTTCCTCTGGTTTGAAGCTTTAAAAGGGATTGCCTACACGGGGATCAGTGTAGGGCCCACCTGCGTGTGGTGCTCCCGCAGCGTCCCGGCCAGTTTTTCTTTTCTTTTTTTTTTTTTTTTAAATATATTTTATTGATTTTTGCCGGGACTGGTTTGGCTCAATGGATAGAGTCTCGGCTTGGGGACTGAAGAGCCCCGGGTTCGATTCCAGTCAAGGGCATGTACCTTGGTTGTGGGCATATCCCCAGTAGGGGGTGTGCAAGAGGCAACTGATCGATGACTCTCTCTCATTGATGTTTCGAACTCTCTATCACTTTCCCTTCCACTCTACATTTTATTGTACAAAAATCAATAAAATATATTAAAAAAATAAATATATTTTACTGATTTTTTACAGAGAGGAAGGGAGAGAGATAGAGTCAGAAATGTCGATGAGAGAGAAATATCGACCAGCTGCCTCTTGCACACCCCCTACTGGGGATGTGCCCGCAACCAACGTACATGCCCCTGACCGGAATCAAACCTGGGACCTTTCAGTCCGCAGACCGACGCTCTACCGCTGAGCCAAACCGGTTTCGGCTTGGCCAGTTTTTCAATAAACCCTTGAATGCTTTTTTTTAATCAATCATCAGCCTCCGGTGGTCTTATTTTGAACCCAGGGTTTGACCCCACAACATTACCAGCAAACATTTATTAACTCCTATGGTAGACCAGCCACACTTTGGGACACTGGAGATATGGAGGGTAATAAAGGCTTGATAAAGATTAGTTGGGGTGATGATCATTTTCACTACTATAATTACTAGTTGTGATTATTATTGTCATGCTTGTAATTACTAATTAGCCACAGGCAATGACTCTCCAGAATGCAGTATGGTAATGTGGGCAGGGCAGACTTTGTTCTCCAGAAACCTGCTCCCTGAAGGCAGCGGTAGGTCTTATTTATTAGTTAACTCATTCAGAGTAAAAGCCAAACCTCAGACCCTGAGGTCCCAGCCCATCTCTGTACTTCTCACTCGGTCCTGGCCACACCCGGCTCCCTGGTCTTTCTCAAGCCCAGCAGGCACTTCTGCATCGGGGCAGAAGTTGCTATTTGCTCTGTTCTTTACACTCTTCTCCCCAGAAAGCCACATGGCCCATTCTCTCATCTCCTTTGGGCCTCTATTCGAGTGTTACCTTCTCAGGTGTATCTTTCTTGAGTGCCATCGATAAAATAGCACCCCGCCATTTCACATCCTCCTTAACCCATCTTATCTTTCTCCATAGCACTTTATCACCACCTGCCATTGTATATATTTATCAGTGGTGTCTCCTTCTCCTAAACTCCACGATGAAAGAGTTTACTTGGTTCGGTTCACTGCTCTATTCCTAGCACTGTGATTAATGCCTGGCACAAAGTAGGTACTCAGTACATGCTTCTTGAAAGAAGGATCATTAGCTATTATCATCATAGTATAGTCAGTTCAGTCATACACATGGCCCCTTGGGCTGAGAACCTGGGCCTTCTTCATGGCCATACTCTACCCAGCAGTAAGCATCCAACCTTGTGGGAGGAGAGCAAGAACCCAGACAAAAAGAGCCTGGTTTCAAGATCAGCAAAAAGCAGGTCTCTCCTCGGACCACGCTTCCTTCCTGCTCTGAGATCCTGCAGCTCAGTGAGAGGCTGGGGAGCAAGGAGGAGGCAGGGATGGGGAGAGGGAGTCAAAACAGCCAAAAGAGCCAGGCCTCACCTGGGTGAGCTGCATAGCAGGTGACGCCAGTGCCCTCAAGCTGTGTGGCGAGCTCCCTGGCAAACAACACGTTGGCCAGCTTGCTGTCGGCATATGCTCGCAGCTCCTGCTGCCAGCCCACCACCGGGCGGTCCAGGCGTGCGAAGTCCAGGCGCCCTCGCCGGTGGGCAGCGGAGGCCACCACCACCACGCGGCTGGGGGTGCAGGCCTTCAGCCGGGGCAGCAGCAGGTGTGTCAGCAGGAAGGGGCCGATGTGGTTTACTCGCAGGAGCAGGTTAAAGGGCTCCCGGGTCTGTCCGCAGGAACTGATCCCTGGGGCAGGGACGAGGTGTGAGCAATTGCTCCGGAGTGAATCCCCATAGGCTTTGGTGGCCCGATCTGTGAGATGGAGTTGGGGACATCCTTCCCACATAGCCACTGACCCCCAGCAATGCCTGGCTGGCTGGAAGGGATGGCTGCCCCTCCAACAACCCCCCTTCACTCCTGCCCCACTTAGGGCCTGCATCTCACCAGCATTGTGGATGAGGATGTCCAGCCGCGGCTCAGACCTCAGGAAGGCAGTAGCGAAGGCCCGCACTGAGGCCAGACTGGCCAAGTCCAAGGCCATGAAGATGACTTCATTGTTCCCGCTCTCCTGTGGAGCGGCAAGGGCTGGGCTTGTTACCAGATCCCTCTCTCCTCTCCCCTCTCCCCAGGCACCAAATTCTGAGAGTCTACCTCCTACTATTACTAAGATCTGCCCCTGCCCCTGCATTAGAATAATATGAATAAGAGTGTAGACTCTGGATTTTTTTTTTTTTTTTTAAATCCTCACCCAAGAGGTGAGGGTATTTTTTCCCAGATTTTTAGAGAGAGAGGAAGGGAGGGGTGAGAAGGAGAGAGAGAGAAACCTTGATGCAAGAGAGACACATTGACTCACTGCCTCCTGCTTGCCCCAACCGGGATTGAACCTGCCACACACCCTTGACCGGGAATCGAAACCACAGGCCAACGCTCTAACCACTTAGCAACTGGCCAGGGCAGGATGTAAATCTTGACTCACGCTTTTTACTCACGTGTGACCTTGGGCAAGATAATCTCTCTTGATGATCTGTCTCAGTTCTCTCACTGTGAAATGGGAAGAATAATAGTGCCTCTATCACAGAGTTGTGAGGATTAAATGAGGTAATATATGTAAAATGCTTAGAGCACTCTGTGGGTACTTGCTATTACTGTGTTATTATTATTGTCTCCTCTATCTTACTCTAAAATCTACAGTAGACTTCCTGTTGGTCTCCTTTCAAACCTCTTGCTCCCTCCAGTCTAGGCATCACTCTGCCACCAATGGTTGGTGCCTGCTGAGGGCCCTTCATTGAGTCTCCCATCCTATAAAATCTGAGCCCCTCAATGAGGTCTGTACGGGCCTCCTAAACCTGGCCCTTCATTTTGCTTCTTCCTTCCTTCCGAACTTCCCAATGCTCCAGCCTCGTTCCCTCCCAACCCAGTGTGATGTGTCCCCAGTTTCTTAAGTTAGACCAGGGCCTTTGCATAGGAAGTTCCCTTCCGTAGTGTTTTTCATTAATGTAACTTCTACTAGTTCTTACACGTCTTAAAACAGCTATTACTGGAGAAACCGGTTTGGCTCAGTGGATAGAGCATCAGGTTCGATTCAAGATTCCCAGGTTCGATTCCAGTTAAGGGCATGTACCTTGGTTGCAGGCACATCCCCAGTATGGGGTGTGCAGGAGGCAGCTGATGGATGTTTCTCTCTTTCCCTCTCCCTTCCTCTCTGAAATAAAATATATATTAAAAAAAAAAAAAAAGAAAAAAAGAAAGAAAAAAAAAAAAGAAGCCGAAACTGGTTTGGCTCAATGGATAGAGCGTCGGCTTGGGGACTGAAGGGACCCGGGTTCGATTCCGGTCAAGGGCATGTACCTTGGTTGCGGGCATATCCCCAGTAGGGGGTGTGCAAGAGGCAGCTGATCGATGACTCTCTCTATCTCTCTCCCTTCCTCTCTGTACAAAATCAATAAAATATATTTTTTAAAAAAAAGCAATTCAGGAAGTCCACTCCCCAGCTTGGGTCTGTGCCCCTCCCTCAGAGCACCGGTGCACGCCCCTTTGCACTAAAGGAACCGAGACGAACTCTCCTCTCTGAACTGGATCACCCGGAGCCACTCTGCTCACCCCACCGTCTCCCGGAGTCCCGGTCCTCTGTCCTCTGTCCGCCGCCCCCCCCCCCCCCCCCCCCCCCCGCACCTGGCGAAGGTCAAAGGCCGCCGCCTCTCCGCGCTCCCGGCTCCGGCAGGCCAGCACCACGCGCGCTCCCCGGCGCGCCAGCTCCAGGGCCGTCATCTTCCCGATGCCGCTGTTGGCGCCTGCGGGAGGAGGCGGGCGGAGCCGGCTGAGCCCGGCTGAGCCCGGCGGCCCTCGCCCCCGCCGCCCCGGCCCCTGCGCCCCGCCGGCGGCCGCACTCACCCGTCACCACCGCGGTGCGGCCCCGCAGGCTCCCGCCGCCGCCGCAGGGCGGGGCCTTCACCAGGTTGTAGTAGAGCAGCACGTAGGCGCCCAGCAGCAGCCCCGCGCCCAGCAGCAGCGCCTCCATGCCGCTGCGCCTCCGGCTCCCGCCCAGGCCCGCCGCCGGCAGCCGCCCACCGGCCCCGCACCGGCTGCGAAGGGCGCCGCGAGGATCCCCGGAAGGCGGAAGGCGGAGGCGGAGGGGAGACTGGCGGCGGGCGGGCCGGGGTGTGAGCGTGCGTGGGCCCTGCGAGCGCCCCCTAGGCAGGCGTCCGTGCCCTCTGGATGCGTGTGCGTGTGTGTGTGTGTGTGTGTGTGTGTGTGTGTGAACACCGAGGTGTGCATGTGGGCCCTGTGTGTGCCTGCGCGGGTGTGGGTGCCCTCTAGGTCTGTACATGCAGCCACATACCGCGTGTGAATGAATTTTCTGGCTGTATAATGAACCAATGGGCTCTGGGAACATGCTTCAGGTTGTGCCTCTGGATCCTGTGTGACCCCCCCCCCCCTTCCTTTTATTTATTGTTTAGGTTAATTTTTCTATTTTATTTTTTTCCATTGACTTTTAAATATATATATATATAATTGATTTTTCACAGAGAGAAAGGGAGAGGGATAGAGTTAGAAACATCAGTGAGAGAGAAACATCAACCAGTTGCCTCCTGCACGCCCCCTGCCGGGGATGTGGCCGCAACCAATATATAATACATGCCCTTGACTAGAATTGAACCTGGGACCTTTCAGTCCGCAGACCGACGCTCTAACCACTGAGCAAAACCGGCTTCGGCAGATGGAAATATATTTTTAAAAATCTTTGTTGTTCAGATTACAGGTGTTCCTCTCCCCCCCATCCGGTTCCCACCCCACCCCAGGTCCTTGCCATCCCACTTCCCACGTCCATAGATACTGTATACATGCATATCAGATCTTTGTCCAATCTCTTTCCACACCCTCCTCCCCTCTCCCCAAGAATCGTCAGTCTGCTCCATTTATGGGGATGGAATATTAAGAACACAAGTGCCTTCTCCATCCCTGAAGCAAGATCCTGACAGGCCAACAGGCCACCTAACTCGAATAGTGTTGGGACAGACACATAGATGCTCTTCAGCCGAGTCAGAGACTGTCTTTAATTTATTGACTTTCCCTTTTCATATATTTTGATTGATTTCAGAGATAGAAAGATCAATGATGAGAATCATTAATTGGCTGCCTCCTACATGCCCCATAATGGGGATTGAGCCCACAACACTGGCATGTGCCCTGACCAGGAATTGGACTGTGATCTCCTGGTTCATAGATTGACACTCAACCACTGAGCCATGCTGGCCAGGCTATTTATTGACTTTTTAGAGAGAGAGGGAGGTAGAGAAACACTGATTTATTGTCCCATTTATTTATGCATTCATTGGTTGTTTCTTGTATGTGCCTTGACCTGGCATCAAACCTGAAATCTTGATGTATCAGGACAATGCTCTAACCAATGGAGCCATCTGGCCAGGGCTGGGAGACTGTCTTTAGGAAAAACTTCCTGGTAAAGTTTCTCATGTAAGGCCTTCAAAGAGGAAAGGATGGAATTTGGTTTAATAAGAGGGCTCAGGGAGTAGAATTAAGGAAATGCTCTAGATGGTGTCTTCTGAGGAATTGCTGCTGGGGAGTAGTGAATGCAGTCATATAAACTGTGGCACAGCCGGAGATAGAGACTGGATTTCTCATTTTTCACGTTTCCCCAGAAATGTTTGAAGCAACAAACTGCTCCACACTACATTCTAAGACACAGGGGCCACATCTGCTTTAAGTGCTTATAGTAAGTGAGCTAGACCAAGATTCAGGCACAGTGGGGCAAGTGGTACTTGACTTGCTCCATGCCCAGCTAAGGTGACAGGGAAAGGACAAAACCAGGTGTTATGACCTCCCAGAATAGATGAATAAAGCATGATAGCAGATAATTGGAACTAAAGGCAGCCTCACCTCTCTCAATTAAAGCTTTTAGACCAGAATGCAGAGGCCTCACTCCTGCCAGCTTGTTTTAATGCCTTGGTTTTGGAGCCAATAGGAGCAGGGGCCTGAACATTCTTAGAATCTTGCAGAATCTGATCATGTCAAATAATCAAACCCTCTAAACTCTGAGTCACCCACAAAGTCATACAACAGCTCTCCTTAGCAGATGCTCCCCTACCTACGCTTCCATTTCCGCTCCCCATGCTCTGTAGGCTCACTTTCCTACAACACCCCCCCGCCCCCCGCCATTTCCCTTGGGGAATGTGACTTGTTCAATGAGACTGTGGGACCAAGATCTCAGCGAAGGTCCCTTCTAAGTATGATGACAGGTAGGACAGACAGGCAGAAAACATAATTTGAAGTATTTTTGTTTTTTTATATACAGAATACAGGAAAGTTTCTGTAAAGTCTAAAACATTACAATTACTATGTACATTGGTACTAGTTGTGGGGTAGGAGAAGAGGGAGCCAAGGGTGGGAGGAAGAGGAGAGAAGTGGCAAGAGAACAAAAAAAGGAGACAAAACAGGTTTACGACAAAAAACGTTTTTGCTACAATAGACAATTTGAAGAAAACGCTCTACCACATGTAGTACTGTACACGGTTTTTAAAAACATTGAAAAAATGTCATCACTAGATGTATTTACACAAAATCCAAATACACTTTTCCTTATTCGAAATAAAATAGATGGACAGCCAGAAAAAGGATTCATTTCTCATTTGTCCATAATACACAGTAGCTACCTGTAGTGCAACCGCTGCAGAAAGGGAAAATAACTTGGAGGGTGGGAACCATGGAAGGAGGGTGGGTAGCGATTTTTATATTAAATAAAACAATGATATTGTATAGATTTTGCTGTATGAAAACTGTATTTTTTCTTTTAATATAAAACTATTGTCACTGCCACAAAATAGAACAAGTTTCTGATTATTTTACAACGGCGGGCGAGGGGGAGGGAGCAGCTGGGTGGAAACGGTTTTGTGTTGGAGGAAGAGTCCAGAACATTGGCCTTCCCCTCCCTGCCCACGCTGTTCCTCAGCTCGGGTCTGCCGCTTTTCCATGAAATGTTGAGTACAAATATATGTGCAAATGCCCCCTAGAACTTGAGAAAAGAAAAAGGATTTTAAAAAACAGTCAAAAGGTTTTCTTCATGTCATGCAAAGATTGTAGTTGAAGGGTTTCTGGTGGAGTATAGAAAAAACCCGGGCTTGGTTTGTGTACATTTTTGCATTGCAGGAGTCTTGGGGTGGGTGAGGCGGGTGATGGGGTGGCCACCAGTCCTAGGGAACGGAGTTGGAGCGCAACACAGGGCCCTGGTGGGGCTTGAGAGAGAGCTTCTCGGCCAAGACCCCATCTTGCAACAGACTGGCATCGCCTTTGGGCTGTTTGGTCGCAAACTCAGTGATGCTGAAGACAAACTGCAGACAGCCCAGCTTGATGTAGCTGCCGTGGTGCAGTAAGGCCGTGCCTTCCCAGCCGGCCCCACTGCCCCCAATCAAGCTCGAGCTGCTGGCTTTGCAGTTGCAGGGTCTCCGTTGTGGCCCCTGGGCCTGGGAACTCATCATGGGTGCCTCCTCGCTTGGCTCTTCGTCCTGTTTCTGGTGCCGGCGGCGCCCTGGGGAAAAAGGGGATGGTCACCGGAGAAGAACAGTGAGCAGTCCGATCATCTGGGCTGTTTGCCAGAGGACCTCTGTACCTCCCCGTTTTAAATGCTGCGTGACTGGGGTGAGGGATGCTCAGAAAGGACTGGTCAAGTCTGAAGTGCTGTACACGTAAGTGGGTGCACAGCACTTGGTTCTCCGTGGCCCTCCCTGGGCCCAGGAGTAAGCACGTGGCCAATGCAACCGGGAAGGCAAGAGACAGCACATCACTGGCAGCAAGCCTGAGCCACCATGACAGAGCCTTAGAAAATGTGTCCAAAAATGGCAGGCTTCATGGCCACAGGCCTCTGCTCCAACTTACTGATGACACTCTGCACTTTGGCAACAATACTGCTTGGGGGGGTTGGCGGGGTCTTCTCGGAGAAGTCACATGAGTACAGCACGTTGTCCACCGTTGTCCCGTGCTCACTGTAGTTTAACAGCTCGTAATGTTTGGTATTCTGAGGAGGAGGAGGGAAGATAAGGTGTGTGGTCTGCTGCGTGGGGCCTGGGGCTAAGGGGAGAGAGGACACATGGAGAAGGCCGTGCTGCTCTACCTGGGGAGCTCGCTTTCTTTCCCCATCGTGCCCCCCTTCCCTGTACTCCCAGGAGCAAGCTCCTGCCTTTCCCTCTCCCCTCTCCTCTCCTTCTTCCACAGGCACACATCTCCTAAATGCTAAGGGACCCCGAGACTTGCAACCAGGGGCGCGATGGGCAGTGTCAGTTAAAAGGGCCTGAGAACAGGGAAGACAAGCAGCGGATGGTCTCCTTTCTTAGCCGCTCTGGTTGGGACATCCATCAAGTTAAAACCATGTCCCAGGCTAACTCCCTGAACCGCTATCCAAGGCCCTCTTTTCTCTGACTTTCCAGAGCCAAAGCAGATTCGCCTAGGCTCTCTCCTGTAGCTTCTGTCCTAAGCCCTTCCTTGTTTCACTGTCTCCGGCTTTAATATACTCTCAAAATAAAAAACAAAAACATATAAACATAAACAAAAAGATTCACCCCTTCAGGGAATCCTTCCTTTTTAGACCCTCCCTCTCCTCACTCCTTTTTTCTGCCTCCTCAGCACTGGCTCCTGCTAAAATCACGGGCACATGAGATGACGAAACTCACAGGGTTGTACTAAGAGGGCTTGGTTTCTTTCTATACCATTCCTTTGCCCTGCTTAGCCCCACCTCTCCCCCACCTCAGCTGAGCCTGTGACCAACCTCAGGGGATAGAGCAGCCCTGCTCCTGGGGAGCAGATGGCCATGGTAGAATGCCCTTTGCACACCAAGACTCCTCTCCTCCCCAGATGATGGGGAGGGAAAAGGAGAAGACGCCCAATCCCCTTCTTCTCACCCAGGGCACTGAACAAAAACCCAGCGCCTGGGAGCAGCCTCAGGTGGGGAGAGCTCCCTCCCACCCCATCAACAGCCCTCACCTCATCGTAGAATATGCAGGCGTGTTTCCCGGACACGTAGTTACAGTGACCATAGTTTGTAAGGCACACGTCCATGTCAGCTCCTGCAAGGTGACATGAATAGAGGAGAAGGCGGGCAGAGAACAAATTGTTAGGTGCATGTGTGGGGAAGGCGGTGGTGGTGATGGGGAGGGCGTTAGCTTCTGGGAGGGACAAATAGCTCAGGGCTCTCTCCTTGTATTTTTAAACTAAAGCTGATGTCTTTTCACCTCTTGCTAAAGAACAGTTGTCTTTGCCAGCTGATCTGCTTTAGAACATATGGCTGCTGCCCAGACTGGTACAGTGAGCTATTGAAGAGGATGCAATATTTTCTTTTGATTTTTTAAAGTATATTTTTTATTGATTTCAGAGAGAAAGGAAGAGGAGAAATAGAAACATCAATGATGAGAGAGAATCACTGATTGGGTGCCTCCTGCATGCCCCCTACCGAGGACTGAGCCCACAACCCTGGGCATGTGCCCTTGACTGGAGTGTCAGTCCACAGGCCAACGTTCTATCCACTGAGCCAAACTGGCTAGGGCAAGGATGGGATGTTTTCATGAAAACACAAAATGGGGTGCAGGGCTATAAATCATATCACCTGAAAGAAGGGAAATGCCTAGGCTGGGGGCTAATCTGTCTGTACTTCTGTACAAGTTAGAGGGCTAACTAAAGCTCAGGTATATGTGAGCCCATAACTCTTTCCAAGACCTCCAGGGAGAAAGGTTTGCTCCTTGGATATTTTCTTGCAGTATTTAAATGCCTCACTGAGCAGCAGTCAGAACTTTTAAACTCTCCTGATGTCACACTGGACACAAAGCAAAAGGGCCCGAGAACAGGGAAGACAAGCAGCTGATGGTCTCCTTTCTTAGCCCTTCTGGTTGGGACATCCATCAAGTTAAAACCATCTGCCCCTTTCTAGCCTTGAGGATAAGAGTGTTAGTCTTTTTTTTTTTTTTTTTTTAAAATATTTTATTGATTTTTTACAGAGAGGAAGAGAGAGGGATAGAGTTAGAAACTTCGATGAGAGAGAATCATTGATCAGCTACCTCTTGCACACCCCCTACTGGGGATATGCCTGCAACCAAGGTACATGCCCTTGACCGGAATCGAACCCGGGACCTTTCAGTCTGCAGGCCGACGCTCTATCCGCTGAGCCAAACTGGTTTTGGCAAGAGAGTTAGTCTTTAGGGCTGAACAGATTCAGCACCTCCCAGCTGGCTCACCTGTCCCGATGTAGAGGGTTCGGTAACACATGTTCACAGCTCCTCCCAACCCTAAGAGAGGGTAGAACACAGCTCGGGCCTGTACTTCCTTTCTTTGCACTACAAGACAAACAAGGATAGGGTTATTCAGAAACTCAGAGCCTGGCACTCAAATGCAAACCAACAGAACCTATGGCTCAAACATTAACAGCAATTCTAAAGAACCCAGACCTTTGGCGCATCGCCTGAAGAACATAATCCCACTGATGAGTAACCTTTACCAGTTCACATCTAACACTGGGCTGCTTCAGGGTGAGGCTCTCTGTCCCACACACAGCAGTCCTCACATGGGTAAGAAGGACAAGAGCTTTGACAATGGTCACAGAATTTAAGGATGATAGTCCTTTATGAGCTCTTGGCTGCTGGTTGATTTGTCAGGGAAAACTAGCTGATCCTATAGGGTGGTTGTGCAAAAAAGGGCACAGACTTTAAGGTGCATATGAATTGCCTAGAATCTTGTTAAAATGCAGATTACGATAAGGTGGCGCCAAAGCTCTGCATTTCTAACAAGTTTGTAGATGCTGCTGCTGCTGCTGGTCTGGGGACCAAACTTTTAACAGCTAATGTTCAAAGGGGTATCCTGAGCAGAGTTAACTTCTTGGAAAGAGTTTCCAGGAGGTTAGCCCAACTGTTATTCTGTTTCTCACCTTTTGGGAAGTTCTTCTAACTTGAATATTTGACAGCAATTGAGCAGAAAACACTACATACACCCAAAGGCACTTGTAGCTGCTTTCTGAGTCTCAAAGTGGATATGTATGAGAGAAAGTTACAGTGCACTTCCTGGAGTCTGAGCTGAAAGCTGTGGGTGCCATTTTGTATATTTTCTGAGAAAAATAAAGAACCATGGTGCTTTATTAAGCCATTAAAGGCACACACTGAAAGTGAGATTTCCACGGAGGGGAGATGGCCGTTCACACAGAGGTCTGACGGCGGGGTGTGGGGCAGGTGTGCATGCGCACCTTCTGTGTGGTGCCCTCCAGAAGCCAGTGGATGTGCCCCGACACTGCCCGGTGAAGTTTGGACCCGGGAGGGGAAAAGCTGATGTATTCTCTGCAAGGCCAGAAACTTGATCAGCTTCTCGTCCAGCATATTTATCTCGATTTCTATTAACCAAAGAGAAAGGTTAAAAAAGCAGCTGAGGAGGAAATGGAATGAGAAGTAGGCTAAGGTTACCGAGCAAATAGTGCAGCAATTCTAAAATCCAGCCAAGAGCTTTTCTTTTTTTAATAGCACCAAGTGATACAAGGATCTTGGCCAGGCACCTCACTAGTCATTTGCAGTGAGAGAGCCCAGTGCAGACTGTGCGGATGCCTCCGGCCACTGGGCAGCTGGGTTTAGGTAAAGTGGTCCAAGAAAGGCAGCGCAAGACAAACCATTTGCCTGTGCGGGGGAAGGGCCTGGATGTCTGATATTGGAGCTTGGATTTCTACCACTCTGTTTACAGAGATCAAGTTCTGCCCTGCTTCTCCTTGATTTTGGGAGCGAGATGCCTCCTGATTTTATTCTGCAAGTCCAGGTGATCTGCCCGGTCTCCAACAATCTGCCTCTAGTGGTTTTCTTCTTTTCTCACTGGCCAGCTTGGCTCTGTTCTCTCTTCACCTTTGATTATGTGTATATGCTTAAGACAGAAATAGAAGGGGCTTTCTTTCCTGCACCACTCCCCTCTCTAGCCCTGAGATCAGGCATCCCTTCTGCCCCTTTTTGAGATGAGCTGAATGCTGCGTAGGGACAGCACTTTCACCACAGCAGCTAATGGCGGAGCAGCAGCTCATTCACTCACCTCCATTGACATCCATAAATGCTCGAAGTGAGTTGGTGAGGTCCACCATGGCAGTAGAGTTGGCTGGGAAAGAGGGTACGGTTAAAGCGCTTCCTATGGATAACGTGCCGGGGCTGACCTTGCCATCTGGGGACGGAGCAGGAAGACTGTTACTTACGTCGCCTGAGGGAAACCCACCGGTACAATCCCCCACTGCCGAGACAGGTCTGGATTTCGGACCCAAGGTGATGTTCCCTTCTCGATTCTCACCCCATAGGCTCTGGAACTCCTAGAGCTAAAAACGTGTGGTGAGGAAGGGCAGATGGAACGACAATGCACCCAGGCATGCAGAAGGCTCCAGAGAACTGGGAACCGGTGAAATCTACTGCTCTGGGGAATGTGGTGGGGTAACTTCATTTTCTGAGCCACGACTACCTCCTTGCTACCTCTACTCATTTAAATAAGTGGTGCCTGCCCCTAATACCCCTGCCTACTGAATTCTGACTCAAGGTGCAGAATCTACCCAGGTTGGTACTGAAATAAACAGAGCCAGGAAAAAAGCCTGAGAAGAGAGGCCACCTTGGGATCAGGGGCCCCATGCAGAGAAGTCACAGACACCTCGTTACCAAGACTTCCAGCTGGCTAGGGAGGCCAGCTTCCGTTCAGACAGGAGAGCCCTCAGAGGGTTTCAGCAGCATCTGACACCTGGTTCAGATGCTGGGGTCAGCAACCTCGAGGTCCCGAGTGCTGACTGGAGCTAGCTGAGAGTGCAGGTCCACACTAGGTCAAGTATGGACATGAGGGCAAGCTTTTGGGCCAGAATTACCTCTATGGCCATCCTGCTCTCCAGCAATTCTAAAGGCAGTGTTTCTGACATGGAAGCTCCTTCACAATAACCTGGCTCTGAGAATCTAATCTCTGGTGTGGATTGTGAACCAGGTTATCACTCAGAGCCTCAGGCTGATCACAATGGTTTCAGAGCACATGCTGCCTTCCTCTAGGGTGATGGGACAAAACAGGCAGAAGACCAGTGGGAAGGTGGAATCAAGAGACTCAGGCTATACTTCCAATCCTGCCACTGACTTGTTAGATCACCTTAAAGAAATCATTTAAGTGTTCAGAGCCTAAGCAGTCCCATTGAATAGATTAAGACAAGTTAACATGTCCTTTCTCTTCCCTCGCAGAAATGGGGGAAGGACAAATAATACAGAGATCAAAGCACTCTGAAATATTCACAGATGTTTTTTGGAAGCTTATTTGTCAGGAAGAGCATAAAATTACTCCAAATCACCCTAAGGCTGAGTAGCACTTACCTGAAGATGGCGCTGGTGAGCAGAAACTTTGGCTGGCTCCCGTGGCCAAGATACTGTCTCCTGCTGCTTGGGGGGGAGTGAGCACCCGGGTGGCATTTGGGGGTGAGCCCAGTGGCCTTGAATCTGTCAACGGAGGTCCTGTCTGTGATTGGACAGTCTTTCTTTGCAAAGTGCTGGTGTTCTCGATGCTGGCACAAGAGCTGGGAATGGAAGGGGGCAGGCTTGGGACAGGAACCAAACTCCTCTGGGGGCAAGAGCTGGGGCCAGTGGCATTCTCTGTCTTCACAATGATGCCGACGGTGTGGTTCTGAAGCCCCCCAGCCGCTGGTGGTGTGAGGGGCCGGGGCCAGCCTTGCCGGTGTGAGAGGCCTGGTAGGGGGGTGTTGGCGCCTGGAAGTCGCCGGGGGTCCGTGGAATCAGGGGGGCTGCTGTAGAGGTGTGGGCCATTGGCTTTCACCTCTGTGTTCACTGGCCCGTTGGCAGTCCCACAGGGGGCTTTCTTGGATTTTTCCGCACAAGAACTGCAGCTGATGTCCTCTAGGGCCGGGGGTTGGTGGGGTGGAGAGCAGCTCAGGGAATTCTGGGTGCTAATCCCTGAGGGGCACGACAGGGGATAGTGGGAAGGTGGAGTAGGTGCCTTGTCAGCTGTTTGCAGGGAGGTGGTGATTGAGCTGTCAGTCACAATAACAGGCTTAATATCAGCCTTCTCTGTCTGTTCAGAGTCCCAATGCGAAGGCATCTGCTTAGCAGATAAATGTTTCAATATGCTGCACTGGAGCGCAACAACACTACAGAGCCACTGTAATGGAAGGAGAGGAGAGGAGAGGAGGGTAAGAGGCCTGGGAGGCGCTGGTCCTTCCTGCCACAGTGGCCAGGGCTACAGCAGAGCTGATAAACACTGTTTCCGAGGTCCCATTGCGAATGCCCAGAAAGGGTGTGCTTGACTCCTGATAGGATTCCATTTCCATTCCCAAGCAAGACTTGTTGATACACTCAGCAGACAACACCCTGGTCAGCAGAGCTTGGGATTCCCGTCCTGGTTTTGCCCCTAAGGCTCACCTTGTGACCAATATTCAGCAAGTACCCTAAACATCGGCTGTGTGTCCACACTATCCCCTAGCCTCTCTATGGGTCTACTGAGGTCTTTCTACAAGACAGTTTTGCCCATCTCATAGTGCATTGGGAGACCGATGGAGAGAAGCAGACCAGTTGACTCTGTAGTTCTCTTACTTGCCTCAAGATCTGAGCCAGAGGTTCTCCCTGAAATATCCAACTCTTGGGGGGTGAGAGTAAGGGTGGGTGGGGTTGTACAAGATGGGGATGGGAATGACACTGAGGCTATTTCCATAACAGCTGCAGTGGGATGGAAGATTAGATTTGGAATCCCAGCCCTGCCTTCACTCACCTCTTGCTGCTCTGCCTGGGTGGCTAAGTGCTCAGAGTTCAAAAGGTGCATCTGTGATTCCTCAGGGATCCCATTGCAGATCAGCTCCCCATCCCGAATGGCCGCGGGTGCAATGAGTGGGGGTGGAAACTGGTATTGAGATTTTATAGCATCAGGAACCTGTTCAGAACAGATAGAAGGAGGAAGGAGAGGGAGATGGTGCCAACATGACCAGTTGATTCTGCTCTGACCATGCTCTTCTGTCCTTGGTGCTGATGCCCAGAGGACCATCATCCACTCTGGGGTTCAGTGAGGATAAGGTGGCTTGGTGGGCAGCAACTGATCTATGCCACCATCTCTTTGCCTAACACATATGCACACTAGCTTGAGAAGGCACAAAACTGGAACCAGCAGGTATGCCCTCCACTTTTCTTCATTAAGGTCTAAGGACTGAGGAAGCCAGAAATCACTGCATACTGCCTTCTGCTTTGGTCTACAAAGTGGAAGACTGACACCATCAGGGATCCAGACTGGTATCCTGGGTTCTGATTGCTTAAGATCAAGTTTGGAAAATAAGTAAACAATATCTGAAGAGATAAAAAGTTAAAATGAGGTCACAGTCACAGTAACATGCTCAGCATGAGGTCTGGCTCCAGATAATCACTCACTCAATGTCAGTTTTCTTCATTCATTCATGACTCATAAAACAATTGAAGACCTCTTTGTTGCACAAACAGAAGACACACTCTGAATCACATCATGTAAGAATGAAAGAGCTACACAAGCAAAGAATCATTCATACATTCAACTAACATTTATTGAGCATCTCCTGAGTCTGGGCACTGTGCCAATTCCTAGAGATCCAGATGAACAAAATCAAGACTTGCCCTCAAGGAGCGCACAGTCTAGTAGGGAAGATAAACACAGAAACATTATAATACAATGTAATATATTCTAGAATAAAGGCATGTCTAAGTAGCTATTAAAAACATGGAGAAGGCCCTAACTCATTTGGCTCAGTGGATAGAGCGTCGGCCTGGGGACTGAAGGGTCCCAGGTTCCATTCTGGTCAAGGGCATGTACCTTGGTTGTGTGTACATCCCCAGTGGGGTATGTGTAGAAGGTGGCTGATAGATGTTTCTCTCTCATCGATGTTTCTGACTCTTTATCCCTCTCCCTTCCTCTCTGTAAAAATCAATAAAATGTATTTTAAAAACAAACATGGAGGAGAGAATCATGGATCAGAATGTAAAAACCTAAGGGAAGGTAGGGGAGGGTGAGGGTAAGGGGAGAGATCAACCAAAGGACTTGTATGCATGCATATAAGCCTAACCAATGGACACAGACAATAGGGGGGTAAGGGCATGAATGGGGGGGGGGGTCCAGGGGGGTAATGGGGAATAAGGACACATGTAATACCTTAATTAATAAAGAAATTATAAAAAGAAAACAAACAAACCAAAAGAAAAACACAAACAAACCTGGAGAAGAGTGTTTGTTTCTACCTGGGGGACAGAAACTTGGGATCAGAGATTTTATAGGAAGGCAGTTAAGAAGGAACTTCCAGGCAGACCAAGGGGGAATAGGGTAGGGAAGCAGTACCTAAGGCAGAGATGTAAAAGCATCTGGTAGACTTGTTAAATATTTTGGGAGAACCAAGAGATTTCGTGAGCAGGTTCTTAGGGAGGATAAGGGAAGAAAAAGCCCCAAATGGGTGCCTGTCCTTATTTTATTATTGTTATTTTAATTTAATTTAATTTATTTTTATTGATTTCAGAGAGGAATGAAGGGGGAGAGAGAGATAGAAACATTAACGATGAGAATCATTGATTGGCTGACTTCTGCATGCACCCTTCTGGGGATTAAGCTCACAACCTGTGCATGTGTCCTTGACCAGAATCAAACCTGGGAACCTTCAGTCCACAGGCTGACACTCTATTCACTGAGCCAAACCAGCTAGGGCTTATTTTATTATTATTATAAACCCTCATTTGAGGATATGTTTTATTGACTTTATTATTTTTATAAAATATATTTTATTGATTTTTTTTACAGAGAGGAAGGGAGAGAGATAGAGAGCTAGAAACGTCGATGAGAGAGAAACATCGACCAGTTGCCTCTTGCACACCCCCTACCAGGGATGTGCCCGCAACCAAGGTACATGCCCTTGACCAGAATCGAACCTGGGACCTTTCAGTCCGCAGACCGACGCTCTACCACTGAGCCAAACCGGTTTCGGCTGTTTTATTGACTTTAGAGAGGGCAGGGAAGAGGGGGAGAGAGAAAGAAAGAGAAAGAGAGAGAGAGAGAGAGAGAAACACTGATCAGTAGCCTCCCGTATGTGCCCCAACCAGAGATTGAGCCCACAAGCTAGGAATGTGGCCTGAATGGAATTGAAACTGCAACCTTTTGATGTAGGCAGGAAGCTCGAACTGACTGAGCCACCCAGCTAGGACTCCCCTGTCTTTATTTCACTCTCAAATTGTCCAATTACAAAATGCTTTTCAGAAAATTTGTGCCCTTGGATTTTCTTCAAGAATAGGGAAACATTTAAAAAAAAGAAACATTATAAAACGACAGGGTTTTATCAATTGGCCTGTTCATTCTGGTAGCCAGGCTCTCTTCCATACCTATATGGTGAATTATAGTACAGATTTTTTCAACTAAGGTATGAGGCTTGTTCACCTGTAATATATCTTACCCTCAACTGAAAACACCTAATTTAATTTTGGAAAACTTGTGTTTCCACTGAAGGATAAATATTTACACAGTTAAGAGTTTGTTATCCAACTTTCAACAATTAACATCTTGCTGATGCTGACACCCACTAGAAATGCGTATGATTAAAAAAAAAAAAAATCCTCACCCGAGGATATGTTTTTACTAATTTTATTTATTTATTATTTTTAAACCCTCACCCTAGGATATTTTTCTATTGATTTTTAGAGAGAGTGGCAGAGAGAGGGAAAGAAAGAAATACCAATGTGAGAAACACATCTATTGATTGCCTCCTGCACAAACCCTGACCAGGGCCTGGGCCAGGGAGAAGCCTGCAACTGAGGTATGTGCCCTTGACTGGAACTGAATCCAGGACACTTTGATCTGCAGGCTGATGCTCTATCCACAAAACTGGCTAGGGCTGTTTTTACTAATTTTAGAGCGAGGTTAAGGGAGGGACAGGGTGGGGGTGAGTGGGGGACCTGGCTGAATATATGAGGAAAATGGCAATCGGTTGCCTCCTGTAGCCGCAACCTAGCTATGTGCCTGGACCAGGAATAGAACCGACAACCCTTCAGTGCATGGGACGACCAATTGAGCCACACCATCAGCCAGGGCTGGAGTGGTGTGATTTTAAAGTATGGCTGCCCCCAAGTGGCCTATTTGAGAACTGCTGATTCCTATTGATACATAGGACAATTTGGGATTCTTTCAAAAGAGAAACATCAGTTTATATATAGTGTTGGGTTCTTTAAGTTAAATGAATAAGGGGATTGAATGATTTATAAGAACCAGCTTCAACACCACCAAATACTCTTCAACACGAAAATTTCTGTCAATCTCTGTGGACACACTTTAATAACTGTTAAGTACATAAAATGTATTGCTAATATATTAACAGCAGCCTGGGAAAAGAGATTTAACTTTCCTTTAGACATTTTTCCCTCTTAAATTCCTCACTTTGGGATTACTCACTTTCCACGTGGCCCTCTGCTTAATCACCCTACCTTCACCTCACTACAGCTCTAGGAAAGGGGCCATCTAACAGAAACAGATGGCACTGAGTGCCAGGTGAGGGGCAGTAACAGCAGAGCACATCTACATTTGGTGGAAGGGGCTAAAGAGTGTTCATCCTCAGGAGAACTAGAGGCCTGTAGTTTGAATGCCTACTATGGGGTTTGGCATTCATAATCCTGACCACCCCCCTCAAGTATTAAAATGTATAGCCACATTCATTACTTGCTCAGCTATCACAGACAAGTCTTCATTTTCCCTCTCTGTGGAGTGGGACCATGGCCCTCTGTCTATCCCATGAAGGCAACCAGAAACCACCATCCTGCCTGAACCACGCTGGGACTCACCTTCAAGCTTCTTCTTTTGACCGACTGGAGCACGCGGCGGTTAGGAGGGTGCTTCTTGTGAATTCGGTTCAGGAAATCCACTTTGACGACATGCTGTGAAATGGTGTCCTGGAAACGGTCAAACACCTGGCACCGATTACTCAGTGTCATATTCTTTTGGCTCAGCTAGAATCAAAGCAGAAACACTCCTGTGGTGAACCTCAAAAGACATCCGTCTCCCGACTAACTATAAATGGACCACATGGGATTGTCTATCAGGGGTTGGTATGTCAACACTCTTGTCAGTGTTGCATAAGACTTTCTCCCTCAGTGCTGCCCAGTCCAGCAAGGAGCAACTGGGTACGTTTCTATTCCCTAGAGTGGCAGGAAATAGTGAATTAGCTAAGAAGTGACCTTCCAAATTCAGCCTCTGACAGTCTTCTGTCCAGCTCAGACCACCCTCTGTAAGTTTACAGGTTTCTTTTTTCTTTTAGTGTACAGGTTTCTGAGGAGATGCAGGCCTTGGCCCTCAGGAGACTCAGACTTCATTCCTAGCAAGAGAACCTCTCCCACAGGAAGCAGGACTGTTTCCTATATAGGAGTTTGGCTGACAGCTGGGATTAGCACCCAAATCCTGTGTGCCCTGCCTTATTCCTCCTCCATGGAACTAGGGAGCAAACCCTCTGGACATCCCAGTCTTATTCTATAGGAGGCAGGAGACTTGGACTGCTCTAAGGGGCCAAAGGGAGAAAAGGTAGTTTGTGCAGCAGCATTCAGAAATTATGTCACATAATTTCTTTTCTTTTATTTTATTTTTTATTTTTTATGTCACATAATTTCTACAACTGGTCCCATACACTTTAATTCAAAAAAAAAAAAAAAAATGTGTGGCAGCCTCCTAATTAGTAAAAGAGGAAAAACCCTTAAGCGGCTAATAAAATATTACCCAATTAATAATTTCTCATCTGCTGGAAAGGTGGTCTTTAAGATTCATATTTGGGTAAATTGCTCAAGGTTGCTTTTTTTTTTTTTTTTGGCTCAGTAAGAGGCAAAACAAGACACACACACTGAGCCCCAGAGAGAAGTTTCCTTCTAGATAAATGTTTCTGAACGGCATTAGCTAAATAAAAGGACAAAGCAACTATTTCCTTTCATATGTGCAAGTCTATAACTGAGGCTCCCTTCGTGTAAAGAGGGAAGCACATTGCCATGTTGAGGGCCAACAGTAATTCCATGATTATCATCATTTGATAGGTGATGTCTTATGCAATAACATTTTTTAATTTGGAAAGGCTGTTCTTATGAGGGACCTGCTCCTCATGAAGCTCTCTCCTATTCAATCTATGAGTGACTATTCTAAGTGCCTATAAGGAAATGTCTTAAACGTCTTTGGAGATAGCAAACTACAGTTGTTTGGCCCCAGAAAGCAGCCTGGAAAATGTAACCCAAGACTTCTGGGAAATAAATGATACTCTAACAACATTCATTCAACACTTTAGTAACTCAATACCTATAAGTGTTATGACAAGAATTAAAGTAAGAGAAGGGAAAGAACCTCATTTGGAGCCTAGGAAAGATCAGGTGTTCAATAAATGGTTGACTGTCTGGAATATCATATATCCATGCCAATTCTCTGAAATTACTGCGCAGTTAGTTAATTCTTGAGATATAAGAATAAATATCTTAAAATTTTCTTTGTTCCCTCTAAAAACAAGAGGCAGGAAAATATGGAAGCAACTACTGAGCATTTATTTCCATAGGGTTGGATCTAATACACCCCAGTTTAGGGCGATAACATCTGCTTGATTCACTCTGGAGGAAAATATTAATGAACCATCAAATGCTAGTGGGCTAAATCTGTCGGTGCAGCTAAAATAAGGCATTGTGATAAAAGGCAAAATGCACAGCTAACATATGTCAAAATAATCGGAATTGAGTAGAATAGTCTGCAGAAACCAGGATGGGAGAGATTATAGTGAATTCTCATACAAAGCTGACCTTATGCTTTCTACTCAATCAGTCCACTCTCCACTGTGCCCACAGAGGACTGAAGAGGCACTGCTGAACTTACCACCACATGTTCGATGTGATTTGGACACATCCATCTGCCCAGGGGCATGGCAGTGAGTGGTGGCTCAAGGCAGTCCATGTGGAACAGGAGGGGGCAATAGTCACACTGGATGAGAGGGGCCACGCGACAACTCCTGCAAAAAAGAGATTAGGCCATTTCTGTGGCAAGATGGGAGAACTCAAAACAACCTCCCCTCCTTAATCCTAACAACATTCTCCCACATCCTCCTCCCCCAATGACTCAGTTACATTCACGATTAGAAAGATGGATGAAGTTGGGGGCTACCACGCGGCTCTCCATTATTCTCTCCTCTAAGAGAACTGTATCTTGTCAGGAAGTGAATGTTTACGTGGCGTATACTAAAGTGGCTGTTGGAGCATGAATGATCATTGTAGCCATTGGGGGAAGACAGCCAACTCTACTTGATCTTTCTACTCCTTAAAAAAAAAAAAAAAAAAAAAAAAAGCTGAGACCGGTTTGGCTCAATGGATAGAGCGTCGGCTTGGGGACTGAAGGGTCCCGGGTTCGATTCCGGTCAAGGGCATGTACCTTGGTTGCTGGCATATTCCCAGTAGGGGGTGTGCAAGAGGCAGCTGATCGATGACTCTCTCTCGTCGATGTTTCTAACTATCTCTCTCCCTTCTTCTCTGTACAAAATCAATAAAATATATTTTAAAAAAAAGCATCTACTTCATTAAACAACAATAAAAAAAAATACTAGCAACCTTTCTAGAATCTACTACAATAAGAACTTTTTCTTCTGCGTGAAGCACTCAGAGAAACTGACAACCAGAGAGAGAGAGTTGTGCTGGGAAAATGATTTTGTAATGAATCAATGTAAGCATAACTAAAGGGAGGGGGCTTACACAAATGCCAATTATGTTTTGTAACCATGATACTCCTTGGGTCCTCAAGATTCACTGGAGCCACAGTTTGGGCTCAGAGTCCTGCCACTCTATCTAGTCCCTTATAGCTTTTGGTGTGGAACATTTCATTTTCACATTTTTCCCCTCTTGTTATCCTGTCCTTCTAACATATCTAAACAACAAGTTCACCTGCAGTAGCAGCTGGTTCCTGTCACTGAGAAAATCCTATTTGAAGAAAACCAGTGTCACAGGGAAGCTACAACTGGGGCAACCTAGAGGCTTTTGGAAGTCAACCTAGAGGCTTTTGGAAGTCTAATATATACCATGGATACCGGCACTACTTTTAAACCAAACTTTAGCGCATTAAAAATTATTTGTTATTTCCAGGGACTTGTGTTGCTGCTGGCTAGAATTCTTCCCGAGAGGTAGTCTAAATATTTCATACTTTAGTTTAATTTCAACTCTTCTTGTTTTGCCTCTACAGTTTATAATATTTGTTAAAATATTCAAGGCTCTAATCAGTCACTCAGTCTCTGCTTTCAGATCATCAAAATATGGATTATGAACATGTAACATACATGGTTTGAAAGAGGTGATGAAAAAGAGAAAAAACATCATTTGCTGAATATGAGGAAAAGCCCCTTAGTATGGAGGAAAAATACCTGTTACACGTGAAGCAGACTTTGACCGGTAAGGGAACGAGACCATTATGATCTAACTCATGCGGTGTCTTCTTAACGTTTTTACCTGTGGTTTCCTCCTTTCTTCTTCTCTTGCTAGAACCTAGAAGAGAAATTGGTGGTGCTGAACTTTCTCTAGGTGCAGAGTTCCTGGCCTCAGATAGGGACACAACAGTAAGTGAAAAATCTCTTTAAAAAAGCATGTGCTGTGGCCTAGACCTGGATCTCTTTCTGGGCCCCCCTGGTCTGGTTTCAAGTAAGAAAAAGAATTAGAAGGGAGACTGAGACATAAGTCAGAACCTTGATCAGAAGTCACTTGTTCTGTGGCACAATACCTCTAAAGGTTTCATAGGCCAGAAGCCTATGAAAGATAAATAGGTCAAAAAGCCTGTTCTATGGAGGTAGATGAGGAAAACTGCAATTTTACTGCATTTTAACAGAAATCAGAAAAACTTTGATTCTGCATCCTACTGACCAGTAAGTTTCTTAAGTGTGCCAATTTCATTCCATCTGGAAGAAAAATAAGATCCAGAAGCTTCATGGTATCAAGAAGCCATAACTCGATTAAACAAACAAATAAAACGTAAGGAAGGTAATTTGGTAGTATCTATCAAAACTATAAATACAGCCCAGTTGGCATGGCTCAGTGGTTGAGCGTTGACCTATGAACCAGGAGGTCATGGTTTGATTACTGCTCAGGGCACATGCCTGGGCTATGGACTTCATCCCCAGTGTGGGGTGCAGGAGGCAGCCAATCAATGATTCTCATCATTGATGTTTCTATCTCCCTCTTCACTCCTTTCTGAAATTAGTAAAAAATATACTAAAAAAAGAGAGAAAGTAATTTGTTTTAAAAACAAAACAAAACATCCCACAACTATAAAGTTTTAACTCAGCAATTCTATTATTAAGAATTTATCCTATAGACACACGCCCACAAGTATACAATGATGTATTTCAGAATTATCTGTTGAAGCACTATCTATAGAAACAAAAGTTTAGAAAAAACCTGAATGTTTATCAACAGGAAATTAAATAAATTATAGTGCCTTTTTACGATAGATCATTATACAATCATTAAGAGAAACTGAATAATGTCTATATTCATATGGAAAGATCTCTATCCTGAGCACACTGTGAAGTAAAAAAAAAGCAATGTGCGGAACAGTATATCAAGTATGCTATTTAAGGGGGAAATAATGAGCATATTTGCTTATACATACACAAAACAATTCTAGAAGAAACACACAAGAACAAAACAGTGGTTATCTGTGAGGGGCAGGAAGGTGGAAACTAAAATGGCAGGCAGAAGTAGGAGGGAAATTTTTCAATGTATGCCTTTTTATATTTTTTTGATTTCTGAACAATGTGAATATATTACCTTAAAAAAAAAATGATACTGGAAAGGGTGGAAATAGAAAATTGAATAAGCACTATAAAAACTAAAACCTTCAAAGATCTTTCCAGGAAGAACCAAGAACAATATGCGACAGTAGCTATACAGTGATGCCATAGGCAGCACTCCTCTTTGGCTGGAAATAATCCTTCAGAAGGTGGAGTGGGGGAGGAGATATAATAGTTTGGCTAACCTGGTAGTGCAGTGGTACAAGTCAGTTCATTGGGCAACTGGAATTGGGTGGGGTTCCGCTCCATGGCGGCAGCAATCAGCAGCTCAAAAGGCCGCCTTAGCTGGGGCTGCACATAGTCAGGCTCTACTGCCACTGGCTCCTCATCCACGTCAATGATGTCCTCATCAACGTCGTTCTGCTCAGAGGTGGGGGTCTCTGTGCTGGCATTGGACGTGGGCGTGCCAGGCCGGCTGGCTCTTCTCTCCAGGATCCGGGCATGGGCCATAGCCTTGAGTTCAGTTTTGCTAGCTGATCTGTCCAACAAGTCCGTGTCACTGCTGGGGGATGTAGTCCGTTTGCCAGATTTGTCCACCAGTCCGTTAACATGGCCCAGCTCCTTTTTCTGTTCTCGTTTCTGTGCAAATGAACAGGAGGGCCCATCATATAAAGAACCACAAAAGAGAAAGAAACAGGGGCTACAAAAACCTATTAGACTATAAACCAAAATTATGAAAGTCACAAATTCATCCACCTGGGGACTTGGCACACAGTTCTGTTGAAGATGACAAAATTATAGCTGAACTAAAGCTGGCAAAACTATTGTAGCAGGGAATCACCAAAAGGCATGGAAATTAGAAACTATTATATAAATCACAAATCATTTCCTCTAAGTCATCATATGATATAGAATATCTCTATAAAAGTAGAGAGTAAAGGAATAAACAATTAACACAGTGAGAACAAGCTCAGTGAGACTGAGGACAGTGAGAACAACAGTGAGAACCAATAAGATCACTGTAGTTTGCCTTGGAGAGGCAGCCTGACCTAATGAATGGTTTTAACTGCTCAAAATAAATAAAGTTTGGTCCAGCCGGTATGGTTCAGTGGCTGAGCATCGACCTATGTTTTGATTCCCAGCCAGAGCACATGCCCAGGATATGGGCTCAATCCTGGTGTGGGGCCTGCAGGAGGCAGCTGATCATTCTCTCTCATCATTGATGCCTCTCTCTCTCTCTCTCTCTCTCTCTCTCTCTCTCTCTCTCTCTCTCTCTCTCTCTCTCTCTCCCTTCCTCTCTGAAATAAAATTTTAAAAAATTATATATATAACAGTCTGCAAGAACAAAGGTAATATGTAAAATAGGCAAGCAGAGCTCCCTATCTAGGGACACTGGGTGCTGGCCTGGAAGGTAACTGTGGAAGGAGAGTGTGTGAAGGGTAGAGACTCAGTAATCATCATTGTGGCTTTCAATGTTTTAAATTTAACTAGAACTCTGAAAGTGATACTTCTTTGAATGGGAAGGTGGAGAAGTGGAAGGAGACTAAATGTACTCTTAGGACTAGATGACTGACAAGACACTTTCCCACAGGACTCCAAATTGAGTGGTCAAATGAAAGTTTTACATTGGTCTCCAGTCGGAAGACCTGGGGTCTTGCCCCAGTTCTGCCACTGATTTCCTATAACGTTGGGTGACTCAGGCTGGTGGCAGGAATTTCTCTATCTGTAAAATGAATCCAGTAAAACTTTTCTTCTTTTCTCAGAGACATGGTGATGATCAAGAGGGTCATATATATGAAAGGGATGGCTCTGAGTTGGGAGACTCTAGCCTCCACTAGGAATAGGACCTGAACATTGGAGGTTGATGAGGCTCAGAGGATGTATCATTTCAATCCACTTCAGTGTAACTACAGAGGGCCAAAGCCTGGAACTGGTGGTGGTGGTGGAAAAGACAGGTTTGGCTCTGGTAGGCAAAGAGGGCCATCTGAGAGAAGGTCAGAGTGAAATTTCAGAAAATACATACTATGTTAGGAAAAAAGCGTGTTATAATCTCTAGCAAGTATTTCTGCTTCTAGAAAATTGATGAAGAGGTAACAGAGTGTTGGAATGAGACAGGATTTAGTTCCTATCTTGGCTCTGTCAATTTCTTTTCTTTGGGAAAGTTTTTCTGCATTTATAAGCCTGTTTCTTCCTTTCTAAAATGGAGACACTAACACCATTTGTAACACCCACAAATGGGTTAAATAAGATAAGGCACATAAAATACCAAGGAAATGATGGGAACTGAAATAACAGTTTCTCTCCTCTACCCTCTTTTCCTGGCTTTACCTCTTCTCCCTCCACTGTTCCTAACCCTTTTGCATCCAGCTTCTTTGAGTGGCAAGTTTCTGAAAGGCTTCCTGGCTGGCAGGTATCTCTAACTGGCCCTGCTCTAATCTAACCAAGTATGCACAGGAAGAGATCTGGGGAGGTGAGCAGGCTGGGGGACAGCCTGTTTTGTGGATTTTAGGAGAAATCAAACTACAACTGTGGTAGGTGGCTGAGTTAGCCCTAGCTTGCTTTTTAATAGGAACCCTTGTGAACACACTGAAAAAGAATGTCTACCTAACTGTTTACCTTCCTCTTAAAGGTTGAAAACTGTTACACACATAAACCACAATCTCTGAATCATCTCATCCTGTTTCTGCAACCAAGGAAGTTATCACTCATTGTGACATCATGTACACAGGCAGGGAAAACAGAAGTGATGTCACAACAAAAGCAAGTTATTTGGCGTATAATTAGTGTATGGGTGTGTGTGTGTGTGTGTGTGTGTGTGGCTTTATAATTTGCCAAGTGTAATCCAGTCTATAATTTGAGGATTGGCTCTCTCTTAATCTGAGTGGAAACACACCTACTTCCTTTTTTGATAAAGGAGAATTTAGCTTTTGCATTCCACAGCAGTTCTCTCAATGTAGAAAATAATGTTCTCAAAGCCAGTAATGAATTATTGAAGCCAACGTAAGGGAAAGTAAGAGAGATTAGGCAATTTGGGGTACAATTGAGTTTAAAGTCCCCCTACCCCATACACCTGGCTAAGCCTTTGGTTACTAGTGACTTATTTGTCTTGGGGTAAGAGATACCCTTTTTCCATCAAGTTGGAAAAGCAGCTTGTTTTTTCTTCAACCACTTTTAGCCATGGATATAGTTGCCACATTCAGGCCACCTACAGGAGGTCTACAAGATCAAACTATCGATACTCCTGTCACTAGTGAATGATACATGGCTTAGTAAATGAACACACCTCTTCTGCCCATATCAGCAGCCCATGTTTGGATTTTAGGCCCTATTGGATTCCAAACAGTCACCATGAGGAGAATGTGGGTGATTCCAGGGCTGGAAGAGACAAGAAGAAGGGACAAAAACACCTTCAGGGCCAGGCCATCTTAGCTCTAGAATATCAGTACTCTAGATCCGGCATTCTGAGCAAAGCCTTTAGAAAACAGCATTATTACCTTTCGACGAACAGTGCACCGGTGACACATCCACTCCCCAGGAGGCAACATCTCTTCACTCAGTGGAGGGTTACTGCGGGGGGAAAAGACAAGGGCAAGACTAAGTGACTAACTAATCCTTTGAAGCAGTGGAAAAAGCCTTCCTAGGTCTGGCACAAAGCCGCATGTCCCTCAACTTCTATTTTGGCCAGCCCTACAGCACTGCTTGGACTCTCACATCTTTCAAAATGCTTACTTGGCATCCTTTACAGTAACCTAAAGAGTGAGCCCCTCCCTCATCTTAGAAAGAGAAGCCAAATCCAGAGCTATTAATACTGGGCTTACAAGGGAAAGATATAATTTCTTTCTCTAGAACACTCTCCCCCTAGAAAGCCATGCCTGTAAGGCCTGCTACAATTTGCCGATTAAAGATCGTTACAAATTCTCTGATACTCCTTCCATCCAGAAGTAGTCTATTTCCTTCCTCTTGAATTGGGGCTTGTTCTTGTTCCTTGTTTTGACCAACAGAATGTAGCAGAGTTCTTAGGAGACCTGAAGATTCCATGTTCACATGCCTGGAATGTTCCATCTCAGAGCCCTGATGTTGTGCTGTGAGAGGCCACACAGAGGAAACTTAAGGCACTCCAATGAACAGCTCCTGCTGAAATCCAAGCCAAAAGCCAGCGCCACTACTGCCATGTGACTGAGTCATCTTGGACTACGCCAGCCCAGATGAACTTCCAAATGACTGCAGTACCAGACAACAGCACATATAACAGAAAACCACCCAGCTGAGCCCAATAACCCAAAGGCTTGTGAGATTTAATAACTACCCTGTTTCCCCGGAAATAAGACAGTGTCTTATATTAATTTTTTTCTCCCAAAGTTGCGCTAGGTCTTATTTTCAGGGGATGTCTTATCTTTCCATGCGCTAGGTCTTATTTTTGGGGAAACACGGTAGTGTGTGTTTTAAGCCACTGAGTTTTGGGGCAGTTTGTCAGGCAACAATGGCATACTGGGGACAGCTCCTCCATGTGTCTTTCTGGGATTACTCAAACATCCTAGACCCTGGCTACATGGCTTTGGGTCACTTCTGGCACTTCTCATGCTTTCCCTTATGTGATAGTTCTCCCATTTCTTTTATTAGAGGGTCCAAGACAAGGGTTGAATCTCTTCCCTCTTTGTATCTTTGTAAGATGTGTACACAGTAGCTACTCAATTAAGACAATAATGAATCAAAATTAAAACTGTGTAAGGCTAGCCTTACTGATTCTCCAAGGTCACTGATTCCCATTAAGGTTACACCAAGATCCATATGAGACTTTATTAAGTCCTTGGGAGGCTCATATTTATAATGCCTATACAGTAGTTGTTCTCAAAGTGTGGTTTCCAGACTGGCAGCATCATTTGGGAACTTATTAGAAAAGCAAATTCTGAGACTTCACTCCAGACCCACTGAATCATAAATTTTGGAGATAGGGCTTAGCAATTTATGCTCAATATCAAAGTTTGAAAACCACTGCTATACAGAACAGGCTATATTTATGCTTAAGAAATTCTTACAGTATTTACTTGGAATGGCAAGTAGGAAATTTTTCTTAAAAGAATCCGAGAAAACTACAAAAAAAAACACACAACACCCACACTCGAAGATTGAATGTATAAGGACCTTTCCTTTAAGTCCTGGGCTTAATGCTATCCTGCTTTATCTTTTCTACCTAATAGCCTTGGGTGGGCAAATTTTCCTTGCTCCATGCTTCCCCAGAGATCTGATCGTGCATGTCAGGATGCCCAGCAAGCCCCATTGCTCCCTTTCTTCCCTGTTACCTTGGTGGAGTCACAGGAGGACCCGTATCAGGAAGTGGAAAACTGGAGACACGTTGGCCTGTGGGGATAGGTCTTTTTTTTTTTTTTTTTTTTTTTTTTTTTTTTTTTTTTAAATATATTTTATTGATTTTTTACAGAGAGGAAGGGAGAGAGATAGCTAGAAACGTCTATGAGAGAACATCGACCAGTTGCCTCTTGCACATCCCCTACTGGGTTGTGCCCGCAACCTACGTACATGCCCTTGACCGGAATCAAACCTGGGACCTTTCAGTCCACAGACCGACGCTCCACCGCTGAGGCAAACCGGTTTCGGCAATGTGGGGATAGGTCTTTAAGCCCTGGAGGGCCACAGGTGAACATCATCTGTAATGTCTACTTTTATTCTCTCCAATGCATTTCTACATAGACCACACCCAAACTAATGAAATGCACACATGTAATTTGCAAAGGTCTACAGACTCTGCTATGCTTCAGCAGCTGTTATATTAAAATTAACCCTGAAAAGGCTGTCACTTCTGATTCTGTTTTTCATCATTTCTTTTCATTTGCCTACTGGCTTTGAGCCAAGATACCCTACCCCACATGTAAAGCAGAGAAGGGCAAGGCAGGATGGTACAGGCTTACGTCTTTTTACCAAGATGTGAATGGCCTCCTGGTCCTTCATGCTTCCCCTAATCTATTTCCAACCCTGCTGGCAGAATGATATATTTAAAACACAATTCTGATTATATCACTCTCTAAATTAAAATGCCCTTCAATATCACCCCATCCATTACAGGATGAAGTTCCAGCTCCTCAGTGTGTAGGTAAGACTCCATGACCAGAACCCTGCCTCCTTCTCCAGCTCCATTAAGTCTGGTGGCTCCTACACAGCCTATACTGTTTCTCAACTCTGTCCGCTCATTCGAGAGCCACTGCTCACAACCACTAAAGCCACATCCTTTCACCTGGTGGACTCATCTTTTATACGGGCTCAAGTCAGGTGTTACCTCCAGGAAGCCTTCTCTGACAGTTCCTGATTCTCTATAGCAGTTTTGTGCCACATTGAAACTGTTATGTACCTAAGTCCCTTCTCTATGCCTCATTCATCTTTGTACTTCCACACTCTGCACAATGCCGGCACACAGCAGGTACTCAATAAAGTTTTAAGGACTGAAGGACATTAAAAGAATGGGCTTCTAGAAAGTGAAGGTAACCCCTCCAAAGTCATGAGGCAAGGCAATGCAATTGGACAGGTACTTATTTTGTGGTTAAATCGCATATAAAATTATTTATGTTTTCTAAGTCACAAAACAACAAGACGACATCAAAATCCACACTTGAAATCTCAACTACACAATGAACTATGCACCCTACTTATTAAAGTCTCCTTTAAATAATTTAATATCTTATTCCTTTCTATTTTATAGCTTCACCTGAAGATGGATGGATATATATGTGTGTGTGTATATATATATATATATATATATATATATATATATATATATATATATATATCACCTGTAATGTCTGACAGAGACACACACACACGGAGAAAGAGAGAGAGAAATGTTGATTGGCTGCCTCCTGTACCTGTCCCAACCTAGGGATCAAACCCAAAACCTAGGTATGTGCCCTAACCAGGTTACAGAATCAAACCTGCAAACTTAGGTGAATGGGATGATGCTCCAACCAACTGAGCCACCTGGCCAGGGTGCTTTCTTATTTCTTTTTTTTAAACTGATTTTTAAAGAGAGAGAAAGGGAGAGGGAGAGAGAGAGAGAGAAGAAGAGAGAGAGAAACATCTCTTTATTTATGCATTCACTAGAGGCTCGGTGCACAAAATTCATGCACAGGCAGGGTCCCTAGGCCTGGCCAGCAATCAGGGCCGATTGAGCTTTCCAGCTGCCACTGCTTGCTAGGGCATTCCTTCATTCAGTGCTGACCCCTGGTGATCAATGCAAGTCAGAGTGAGTGATCAAACTCCTGGTCTCCGGGTTGAACTCCTGAGGTGTTATTTTGCATATTAGCCTTTTACATATATAAAAGATGGGTTGATCCCAATCAGGGGATCAAACCCCAAACCTTGGTGTATCTGGGCAATGCTCTAACCCAGTAGTCAGCAAACTGTGGCTCACAAGCCGAGGTTTGCTGCTCTGCTGACTAATGAGTTTGCCAACCACTGCATAAGGCATTACCCTTACCCAGAAGTTTTGACTTCAGGTTAAAGACGGTACATTATTAAAATGTTTTTTTAAGTGTTTTTCCCTAGCAGTGTTCAGCAAACTCATTAGTCAACAGAGCCGCAGTTTGCCAACCACTGCTCTAACCAATTGAGCTATCTGGCCAGGGCCTTGTTTCTTTCTCTCTCTCTCTCTCTCTCTCTCTCTCTCTCTCTCTCTCTCTCTCTCTCTCTCTCTCTCTCTCTCGTGTGTGTGTGTGTGTGTGTGTGTGTGTGTGTGTGTTTAATTTTTATGCAATCAGTTTAAATTAAAACATATATATATTTTTATTGAGGAAGGGAGAGGGAAAAAGAATCATTTGTCAGCTGCCCCCCACACACCCCCTTACTGGGGATCAAGCCCTGCAACCAGGCATGTGCCCTTGACCGGAATAGAACCTGGAACCTTCAGTCTACAGGTCAGCGCTCTATCCAGAGCCAAACTGGCCAGGGTAAAATGTTTAAAATATTTTAATTCAGGGTAAAATGCTTAAAATTTCTATTAAGAGACTTTTAAAAGTAGCTCTAGGTTGGTTTCTAAAAGATCACTTTTAGAGATACCAAGTTTAAGAACACACACTTTTCAGAATTCTAGATTATGGCCACAGGCTCCTCTTGTCTGCCCTAAAGGATGGGGTGAGGACTGTGAGTTTAGGGAGTATGCAGGGAAGTTAGAGGGTTATTTCCAAGATTAATATAGAACACTTAAAACAATAAGGCCTTGCTGGGATTTTGCTGCTTTCTTAAGAGACAGAACATGCATCTTGAAATACATTTGAAAATGTGGTTATCTAGAGAGATGGTAATAATACCTAAGATGTGACTGAAAAGGAAGGAAGGTCTATGTTTCTAGAAAATGGTCATCATAGGCATAGCTGAAACACAGGAATTGCCCATCATGAAGCTTTCTCATGATTCCTCTTTACTACTAGCAATTCCTTTCAAGCAATTTAGATGGCAGTTTTTCAATTCAAAAGGAAAAGGATTCATGAAATGCCTCCAGGAAAGACAGACTGTCCTTGGGGTAAAAAGCTCAGGAACTAGTTCCAGAAAAAGGCCGTTTTGCA